AGGCTTATTTTGGAGATATACCTGAATTTAATGCACATGAATTAAGAAGAGCGGCTATTGAGTTCTGTAAATACAATTTTTAAGATATAATGGCAAAGGAACCTAAAAACAAGTATATTGATAATAAGTGTTATTAAGGACTCTATGTTTCCACTTTACTTATTGATGGGTATGGAGTCGGTAATATGGTACTTTAAGCTCCTTAGGCTATTTAAAGTTAAGAACCTACTTGGGCTTTAGGATTTTTATTATTTAAACTTTGGTAAAAGTAATGCAATTTCAATTGATAATAAAAATATATTAATTTAATTATTAAAAGGTTTATTATAATAATAAGGAGAATATTGATATACTAATAATAATATTATATATTTAAATTTTTTATTTTAGAATATCAATTTTTTTAATATATGATATTTATTTTCTATAATGTTAAAAATTAAAACTATTCTTTTATGAATTGTTAATTTTCAAAAATTCTATTAAAGTTTTTTTTAATATTATTATTACATTTATTAGTATCAATTAAGGATCTTTTTTTATCTTCTTATTTAATTTATTATTTTATATGAATATTCTTAATTTCAGATTATTGAGACTATTAAATTTGTAACTATATTTATTTATTATATATTATTTTATTTTATTATTAAAAATTATATTATTATATTTTTTTTTTTATAGAATTAAATAATAATTATTCTTAAACTAAATTTTAAAAATTTTAATTTAATATTTTTATTTTTTCTTTATCTTTTTACCATTTATAATAATTATTATAGGATATAAAAAATTTTAAGACTTTTATTATTTATATAATCTATTTTTATACATTGTATTAATAATAATCAAATATAACATTTGAATATATATATAATTATATATTTAATATAAGTGTTTTAAAATTTTATAATATTATAAATAAAATATTTTAATAAAAAAAATATTTATTTTTAAAAAATTTATTTAAAAATTTAATAAATTATTTATTTAATAATTAATTTATATTTACGTTTATTTAAAAAAAATTAAAATATTAAGATGCATTAAATATTTTAAATGTTAATTTATTTACTTTATTATATTTATAATTAAAATGTATATTAATAATAATATAATAAGATTATTTAAATATTCAAATGACAAAATATTATATTATTAAAATTAAATTAAAGAATATAATTTATAATAAAAAATATATTAAAAAATATACATATATTTGAATAAATAAAAAAATAATATTTTAATAATTAAGGAGTAAACTAATTAAGGGGAAAAATTGTAATAAAGACAATTTATTATTTTAGTTTATTAAATATAATTTATAATTGTTTTATGAAGTATTTAAAATAAGTTTTAGTTAATTTCGCTTAAAATATAATTTATGTTTATTTTAAAAAGATTAATTGTTAAAAAATAAAAATTAATTATTAGTCAAATTTCATTTAAATTTGGATTTTTAACAAAAAATTATAGAAAAAATAAAAAATAAACTAAGCAAAAATATAAATATAATTTTTATATATAAATAAAGTCTAAAATATTTAAAAAATGGTTATTTATTTTGTTATTTTTAAAATTTTTATATTATTATTATAAATTATTAAATTATTTAAGTTTTAATTTTTAATTAATATATTTAAAATAAAATTATATATTTACAAAAAATAAATATAATCAATCATTATATTAATTAAAGTATTTTTCTATTCCTAAAGCAGATCCGAAATCAAATGTAATTTATTAATTAAACTTATCTTATTCGTAATCATTTGGTATAGTTTTAAATTAACTAAAATTCTAAAAAACTTTTTTCGCATTTTATAAATAAAGTTCAGTTGCCTTCGTATATGCCCATTCTTTTCTTTTTTTTTAATCTTCAGGTAAATATCTATAATCCAATCTTTCTAAATCATAAGGAATTTAGAAATGTCCCTATATATATATATATATATATATATATATATATATATAAATATATATATATATATCTATTTTTTTTATTTATATATATATGATTTTATATATATTTATATATAATTTTATATATATAAATATTTAAATTTCACTTCTCTTTAAGCATCAACTACTCTAACCATAATAGATGTATATTCTTCACATAGCTTAAATTTGCTATTTTTTTAATTTAATTTTTCCTATATAACATCCCAAGGATCTCTTTTATTCATTTCTTAAAGTATAACAGGATTCACTTCACCCTTTATTAGTGGTAATTAAAAAACTTTCGAAAGTGCATATCCATCTGGAGAGAATAAAGGAACTAAAGTCCAACCTATATTTTATAATTTTTTCTCATTTTTATTAATTTATAAAGCTTTTATATCTACTATAATAGAGAGATATCTAAAAAAAAAAAAAAAAGATAAATATATATATATATATATATATATATATATATATAAATATATAGATACATATAAATATATTTGTATATATATATATAAATACCTGTCAAATGGTTAATCCGTATAAGAAATAAATCCTTGTTTAAATCTTGGAGACTCTGCAGGAGATAATAAATCGCATTAAGATATCATTTAAATTTAGTCTTAATTTTATTAAACACTATTAAGATAATAATTGCCTGGAGGAAATAAAGATATTAAACCCGAATAAATCCATTTAGAATTCGGGACTTTATTTAAACCATCTAAAGAAAAATTAATACCTACTTTTTAGTCGTATTTTGCAAAATACATCATATCTATTATTTATGTGTCGGGTCCAAATTTTAATACTTAATCTAAAAATTATTCCATTCCTTTTTATTTCTGTATACATATTAGTTTATAAATATATTAATTTTATATTTTTTTATACTATATTTTTATCTATTAAATGAACGATTTCTTCTATTTTTTAATCAATTCTTTCTTTTCTTGATTAATATAAGTTATTTTCATTTTTCATAAGTGATATAAATTATGTGTTATATACTCCAGCACTATATTCAGGTTATGGATCTACTAAACCTTTAGAAATCCAGTCTTTTTAAGGAAATTCTTTTATTGATAAACATCGTAAACCATCGTCTGATAGTGCTGCTTTTTTTAGTCTTACTAAAATAGACGCACATGGTATTCTTTCTAATTTTTATCTTTTATTAAAACAATAAATATAATATAAATATATATATATATATATATATATATATATATATATATATATATTTATAATTTACAATTAATTTATATTAAATGGATATTCTCTTTCTATCTATTATGAATATATAGGAAGTTAATAATATCCTTCGTAAATACAAAATTCCTTTAATTTTTAAATCAAATTTATATATATATTTTTTTATTTTATTAAACATTTTCATTTTAATCTTAAGGTTATTCTTTAGTATATGGATTTATAAATAACTAAATTCCTGAATATCCAACACATTTCGACTTTTTGGATGCATTATCATAAGTAACAGTTGTTAATAAAATAAGACTAGTTGGATCCATTACATTCTTTCTTAATTCTCTTCTATAATTAAATACAGGGTTATATTAAGTGGAATTTAATTCAGGTAGACATGATTCTTATTCAAAAACTGTTTAATATTTTATATTTACTACATCTATTATTATTTTTGTGACAGTAACTTTATCAGGTAAATGTCTTAAACCATCTATATAAAAATCTATTCCCATATTTTTTGTATAAATACTATCAGTATTCCATTATTAATCATTATTTTATATAAAAGGATTTTAATTTTAATTTTAATTCTTATAAGATTTAGATTTTTAATTTAAAGAAATATTTAATTTTGATTTACTTTTTTAAAAAAAAATTAAATAATATTTATATATATATATATATATATATATATATATATATATATATATATTTAATATTTTACTCACTATTGGATTTTTTCTTTTTAGTAGCATCTCTAGCGTATTTTAAATCCTTATCTGTAAATTCTAACTTTTCTAAATTTATAATTACTTATGTTCTTTAATTAAGCTATTTAACTCGACTTAAATCTACTGGTGGTCTCCTAATAGGAGGTTCATAAAGTATAATTTTTTATTCTCCTTTTCTTAATTTTCCTCCTTCTATAACTTTAAAAAAATTCCATCCTATAGGCTCGTAGTCTAATCCCGCATAATTTAGGGCTGTATCAACAAGTATATCATCTTATAATTATACAGGAATCGGTTTTTCAACTACTTATATAGCAAGCCATATATCTTTTTTATTTTGTTTATATAATCCTATAATATTTTATAAGAATTTATATCTTTCATTAAACATTATATTTTATCCTTATTCTTTATTATTCATATTTTCCATATGTGGATTCTAAACATCTAAATCAAAAGGCTCTTTTTAAGGTATATATTTGAATTTATTATCTAAAGGATTATGTATAGATGTATTAAAAGTACAATTTAAACCATTTTTATCCTATATAACGTAATTGTCCTCTAAAAGAGCAATTTAAACTCTACAATGTGAACCTGCTACATGATTTTAAATCTTAAAACATAAAATTAGAAAAATAAATATAAATATAAATATAAATATAAATATAAATATATATATATATATATATATTTTATTTATTTTTATATATATATTTATTTTTTTTAATAAAAATACCTCTTTTATAATAACTGCTAAACCACCAAAGTTTTCATTATCTGGAGTTTCTGATTTATCGGATATAGTTTTTGGTTTTTGTTATGGATTATAATATTTTAATTAAGGTATTTATTTGGGTTCTATATCATTTTATTAATTTTAATGTCCTGGTTATGGTATTTAGGAATTATTAATTTAATAAGTTATGTTTGGTAAAGGTTCTGGTTCTCCTTCTATATCTAAAATGTCTTAGCGTGCTCCTGTGATGTTTCTGAGATGGATTTAAGGGATTATGTATTCATACATAGTTTAATCGGGATAAAGAGATTAGACTTGACCATATTCCGCATCATTAGGGTAGGCTATTCTGAAATATATCCATGCACCGGGTATAGGTTCAAGGTATTTTATTTCCGGTATAGGTATTTGAGGTTCTGTGGGTCCGTAATATAAAGGACATTTAAATTTACCTCTTTTAAGAGTCCTTTTATAATCAAATAAGTCTACTTATGTCCATCCAAAAGTATCAGTTCGGCCAATATTATCCTATAGATTTTTCGATTAAGGAATCTAAACTTCCATTATAATTAACGTCTCAGGATCTGCAGGAATATCGAATATTTAATTCTAGTCTCCTATTATACACCTGACAGTTTAAGCACTTTCTATTTCCGTATCATGTGGATCTACTAATTTAGGCTAGAAAATAGTTTAGTTTTTAGTATATATGCCAAATACAATCTAAGAAAGAGAAATTCGGCGAGGTAAACCTAAAATATAATCCCAGTGTACTAAAAATCCTTAATTTGTATCATAATCCTTTGGTATATTAACTTCATCAGTATTTTCCTATTCATTTCTGATTTTAGAAGCTAAAATCCATCTTCTTTAATCATCAATCCATCTTTTTAAATAAATATGTATTTTAAATGTATATGTAATATATGTATATTTATATGTATATATATCAATATGAATATTGTAATTATAAATATTAATCATATATTTTTTTTTAATTTTGTTTTTGTATTTTTATTTATAAAAATATACCTTTAATTATCGAATTTTCTGTCCATATATTTCCTTTCAAGTTCGAATTTTCTTCTCATTTTTGCTAGTCTTTATTCTTGTACAATTTTTTCTATTTCAGCTCGTGTAGTTGATAATTATTTATATTATTCCATTTTAAATCTATATAGTTCTGTTCCTACTGGAATTCGGGAAAGCACTCTCAAATCATCTATCTCTTATTAGCTAATGTTCATTATTGTTCTTTCTTCTTTATCTAAATCAACTGAACGAACTTCATTATGAAGGAAAAACTCATTTTTAATTGTGAAAATCGAAAAAGGGTTTTCACTATTTGGTTATTTGTCATAATTTTATTATTATTATTATTATTAATATTATTATTATTACTATTATATTTGTTATTATTGTTATTATATTTGATTTGTTTTATATTCTTAGTTTTATATTTGATTAATGTTTTAGTTAAAATATTAATTTTATTTTTATTTTTGTTCATTTATTTTATTTTTTGTTAGCTATATTTGTTAAATTTTCTATTGTATCATTTTATCTAAAGAGTCGTTTTCGAATGTTTATTTATTATTATCAATATTATTTTAATAAATTAGTTAATTATTTTAATTTTATTATTATTAATATTAATATTGCTATTATTATTATATTATATTTGGTTAATATTATTGTTATTATTATTACTATTATGATTATGATTTTGTTTAATAAAATCTCTATAAATTATCAATATTTTATACTAAATAAGGGTCGTTTCCACCAGATTTTAAATAGTCATTTTTAATTTATGATAAATCATTAATTTTCGATTCAGCAAATTGTTCTAATTACGTTTTAGGTCTATCTTTAATTATTATAAAATTATATATATATATATATTTTATTATGTATATTTTATATTACTTTATACTTTTTCTAAACCTTATATTAAAGGTTATAAGCTTTTTTATACATTATTAGGGGCTTATTAATTATATTAATTATATTAATTATAATATTATTATACTTTTCCTACAAAATCATTTTCTTTTTTAGCTGTGTATAAAAAAAAATAAAAAATTATATTTATATTTTATAAAATAAATAAATAATTAAATATATATTTATAATATTATATTTTCTTTAATTTAATTATAATAAAGATTAAAATAAATTTAATAAATTGTAAAAATTTATAAATTTTAAATATATTTATATTTATTTATTTATAATAATAACCATATATTTCATCTTTATCAAAAGGTATAAACTCTCTTTTATACATAGATTCATTTTAGTTTTTCATTTATTATATTCTCCCTTCTTCTTATTATATTTTTTCTTTCATCCCAGGAATATTATAAGCTGCTAACTATCTCATATCTCCAATTATATTTTTAGCCGTAATTAATGGAAAGTTATTGTTTTAACCTAAAACTTCTTTATAATCTCCTTATTATATTTTTTCAAGATTATGTTAAATTCTTACTCTTTCGTTTTCAAGTTATTCCCTTCTTAATTTTAAAGTTGCCATTTTTTCTGCTTTTTCTTCTATTAATTTTTCATTTACTTTATTATTTTATTTTTTTGAAAAATGTAGATTATCTACTACTTTTTTCATTCTATCTAATTCTTCTTTTCTCATTATATCTAAATTTTATTAATCTTATTATAAATTTTGGACTTCTTATACTAATTCTTCTTCTTTTAATTTAAGGATTTCTCTTTCATTTATAATTTTTTCTAATTCTTTTTTCTTATCCTAACCTATTTCTTGTAATTTTACTTTTTCTAAATCTACTAATGCTTTTCTTAATTTAATCTTTCTCGATTCTATTTTTTATTTCTTTTTCTTTTTTTATTTCGAGTTCATATAATAAATCTTATAAAGCATTTTCGTCTTCCTTTTTTTTTAATTTTATTTTTTATCTCTCTTCATTTATTTTATTTAATTCTTAATCTAAAACATCATCTTATTTTCGGTTTTCTAATTAAAGAATTTTTTTAAATTACTAATCTTCTTCTTTAAGTTTATCTTTTAAATCCTAAATACTCATTTAATTATAATTTTTTAATTTTTCTTTTTCTTTTTATTTTTGGCTTTCTAAATAATTCTAATAGTTCTCGCCTGTAAAAGCACCCTTTTATTATTATTATAATCTTAACTCTTTTTAATATTTTAGTTCTAAGTTTGCTATATCGGCATAATCACTTCCTTAGCAAAACTTTTTTTTTTTTTTTTTTTCGTTTATTATTTTTTAATGTATATTACTCTTTTTAAATGATTTTATAGTTATTCATTATTTTAGAATTTTAATTTGCATGATCTATTTTTTTAATTATTTATATTTTTTTTAGTATTATATTTACTGGCATTCATTAAAAAGGGTTGCCATTTTATATATATATATATATACTTAATATTATTTTATTTTATTTTTTTAAAAGAAAGTTATATATTAGTTTTTTTTAAAAAAAAATGAAATAAAAACTTATAATAAATTAAAGAAATTATAAAAACAAATTAATATTTATTGAACTAAAAAAATTGAAATATTATTTAAAAAATAAATTAATAGAATTTAGATTTTAAATATATAATATTTAATATATAAATATAAGTAATGTTTTTTTTTTTTTTTTTCAATATAATAATCATTTAAAATTATCACTTTTATTATTAAAAATCTATTACTTAAAAAATTTAAGATCTATAATTTTTTTCTTCTTCTTTTTAAAAACTTAATTAGTATTTTTTTACAACAATAAATCTTTTTTACTATTATATAAATTTGTATTTTTAGTTTATTTAGAAAATTATAAATCAATACTTTTACTTCTGGTATTATTTGAAATTTCTTCAATTGAGATTTTAGGGGATTTCATATACTATTTAATTTTATTATAAAAGTATTTATTTTTTACACTTTAGTAACTGTTTAATACTTCTTCACAGAAATTATTTTATATTTAGTTATTTTTTTTTTTATTTAATATTTTATTATTGCTTTTGGAGTTATTTTTTGATTTTTAAGTTTCGAAATTACTTTTTATATTATTAGTTCTAAATGTAAAATTTTTATTTTAAGTTTTTGTTTAAGACTAATTTATAGTTTCTAATTGATCTTATGATTTACTCATTTATATGCATTTTTATAAAACTTGAGATTATTTTATTACATGGGAATTATTTTTCGGATTACTTTTTTCTTTACTTATGTTTGTTTTTTATTTATTCAATTTTTTTTTATGCAATTTTAAATATATTTTTTTACTAAATAAGTCTAGTTAAAATTCGTTTAAGAAGTGTTTTATGAAGAATTTAATTATTTTAATTTTTCAAGTCTTTTTTAAGAATCGGATTGTTTTTTGTTTTCTTTTAAATTTTTTATAAAATCATTTTTCGTTTGTTCCATTTTTTTTAATAATTTCGATTATAAAATATCATTAGATTAATTTTTTTTATATTCATTTGAACTTTAAAATTATTAAGTGTTATAACTATCATCTATTTTTTATTGTTATTTTTCTATAAATAACTTAAGTTATTATTAAACTCTTATGTGTTATCTTACTTCAGCTTCTAACTTTTATAATAAATTTTCGTATTCATTACAGTTTTTGCATTAATTTAAATAATAATTTTCTTAAATTTAACTATTGTTTTCTTTTTATTACGATTTATATACCTGGAATTGTAAATAAATATTGTTATTCATTAATATAAGTTCATCAAACATATATTCTATATGTCTTATTATTTATTTTGCTTTTTATTCTTTTAGATTTTTAAACTTTAATTCTAAAGGAAATTTTTCTTTTAAACTAATTAATAGATTCTTTATATTTATTTGTATTATTAAAATTTTAATATATACATTTTATTTTACTTCGTTTATTTTTTTTATAAATTTAATATAAAATTTATATATTTTTTTCATAATTATCTTGATTTCTTAGTCTTTAGTTTTCTAAATCTAAAGGCTGATTTGCTTAGTTTAATTAATTAAATTATTTCGAAAAAAAAGATTGTTTTCGGGAATATTTTCAATTTATATTTGATCTTCTATTAATATTTCTTAGTCTAAATTATTTAAAATAATTCTTGAGTTTATTAATTATGAAAAAAAAATTAGTAAAATTAAAATAGGGATATACTTTATGATTATTTAATTAAATCTTTAACACTTTATTTTTTACTCAAAAAATGTAATTAAGAATTCATATATTTGATTATATACTTTTTTTTTTTTTTTTAAAAAAAAAAAAATTAAAAATTTATTAATTTTTTTTTATATTTTATAAATATATATTAAAATTGATATATTTAATAACAAAAAAAAAAATTAAATATTTGATTACTTGCTTATAAATAAAACATAATGTTATATAAATAAAAATATAAATATATAATTAAAATTTAAGAATTTAATCAATAATAATAATAATATATTTATTTTAAGTTATAATTATTAATGTATATATATTAACTAATTTTTAATTTTATTTTTTATTCTATAATATCTTTGTTTTTTTTAAATTTATAATACATTTTTTTTTTTTTTTTTGGATAAAATATTTTAATTCTTCTTCAATTTTTTTTTGTTAAAAATAATAATATTTTTTTCTTTTTTACAAAAAATATATTTTATAATTAATATATTTAAATTATTTTTTTTATAAAAATTCTCTATATATGTAAAATTTAATTAAATAAAAAAAATAAAAAAATTATATGCATATTATTTATTTTAAATAAAAATAATAAACATATTAATTTCAAGTTTTAGTAAGTTTAGTCGACCATTTATGACGTATTTATTTATTTTTATGTCATTTTCAAAAAGATAATAGAGTCGATTTGCTAAAATGTTGAACATATTGTATGATTAAGAAGAAGTTGTAGTAGGAGACAATAATTTCTCATGATAGCATTTTTAATTGAAAAAAATATAATATATAATCAAAGATAATAAAACGAATTTTAAGAAAAAAATAAAAAAAATATTAAAATATCCGAAATAAATTATTTTAAATATTGTAAATTTATAAAAATAAATAAATAAATTGTTTTAAGTCTTTATTAATAATATAATTAATAAAAAATTATATATTAATTAATAAGAATTTAAGTGGATTATAAATAAAATATAAACTAAAGAAATTTAATTTCTATTTTATTGAATTAAACTAAAAATTTATTTAAATTAAAGCAGACAATTTTTAAGTTAAAAATAATATATTTTTTATTGATAACTATTATTTTATTTAAAGGAAATTAGTAAATATAGGTGTTTAAGCTAAAATTTTTTTAAGTTTATAAATATAAAAATATCTATATGTATATATCTATATCTATATATATATATATATATATCAATATATATATATATTATATATATATATATATATATATATATATATATTATATATTTATCATTTATTTTTTATTATTTTTTTTTCTTTTATTTTTTAAATAATATTAATTTCTTTTTTATATATAATAATATTTTAGATATTTTTTATAATTAAATATTACAATTTAAGATAATATTTAATCAATATTTAAAATTATTATTAATTGCAATTATTTAATATATATTATTTCATTTTTTTGCAATAATTATTTACACTTATATATTATTTTAGCGCGCTTGTTTATAAATATATATTATATTTTTATAATTAGCGGAATGTTTTATAAAAAATTTTTAATTTAAAATAAATTTATCTTTGAAAAAAATTATAAAAAAAATGAATTGGAAACATGATTATGATGATTTTTTTTCTGGTTTAAGCATTCATCATTAAGATTTTCATTATTACATAGATGATATATATTAAAATAAAGTGAATTTATATATATATAATTAAGAGATAGAAAGATAATAAGAAATGACATTTTATGTATATAAAGAAAAAAAGAACACCTACTATTAATAAAATGAATATATTCAAGAAATGTTTTAAAAATAAAGTCTTTTGCCTACTCCTATAGATGATTTATTAAAAAAAATAGATGAATTAAGAATAGTAAATATATTTTTTGCATTAAAAAAATAAAACAAATGAAATAGGAATATTTAAATAAAATAGTAGATGAGATAGATTAAAATGATTTAGAAGAAGATTAAAGTAAAAAAAATTAACAATTATGGGTAGATAAATACATGCCGAAAAGATTCGATGAACTTCTTAGTAATGACAAAATTAATAGAGAAGCCCTTTGTTGGTTAAAATCTTGGGATCCTATAGTATTTAATAAATAATTAAATATAAAAAAGTCAATAATGAATATTAATAAATTTATTCCTAATAAATAATATACATAAACATAAACTTTTACCCGAAATGTATTCGGATAAGTCACGAAAAAAACAGTTCCATAAGAAAATAATTTTAATAAAGGAAATTTTGGAAATTAGAATAATAATATTCAAAAGTTGTTCTTCTATGATCTTAATGATGAATATAGTCTCTAGAAAATGCAAAACAGTGTTATTTTATTAGCCGGACCTCCCGGTTCTGGTAAAACGACTTTGGCAAGAAATATTGCAAAACATTGTGGATATAAAACAATTGAAGCAAGCATATTTTTATTTACAAATATATATATTTTTTAAATAATATATAGATTAATGCTAGTGAAGATAGAACAGCAAGTAAATTAATTGAACGAATATAAATAATGACATAGAATGAAACGTTGAAATTTTCAAATTAAGAAAATATTGAAAATAGTAAGCCTTCTTTAATTATTTTAGATGAAGTTGATGGTGCTTTAGAATCTGAAAGTCATGGAGCTGTTGACTAGTTATTAAATTTTATATTTAAAGGGGAATAATAATAAAAGAAAGTTTATAAAAAGAATGTTTTTTAGAAAAAGAATGGTTAAAAGGATGATAAAGAAGATGAAAATATAGAAGAAACAATTGAAATAGAAAACGAGAAAAAAGGAATTAATTAAAGCTTTTATATTAAAAGGCCAGTTATTTTCATTTGTAATGATGTCTATAGTAAGGGGCTAAGAGAACTGAGAAAAAAAGCGCTTGTATTTATGTTTTAAAAAACTAAAAAGGATAAACTTTTAGAAAGACTAAAGGAAATTTGTTTTAAGGAAAAACTAATTTTAGATTAACAAACTTTATAGAAAATTTGTGATTATAATGATTATGATATTAGGTCTTCTTTAATGAATTTATAAATGATTTCGAAACTATAAAATAAAAAAACAGATAAAAATTAACTATAGATTAGATTTTATTGGATTAAAAGTAAAATAATAAGGGAGTTTTAGAATTTATTGAAAGTATTTTTTACGAAACTTCTAATGGTGTTAAAGTTACGGAATTCGAGTATATTTTTTATCAATAATAAATAAAAAAATGATTATATATAATAATATTTGTTATATTAATAAAAGTTTTAAGTTCGCAGTCTAAAGTATTATGAAAAATGTTTAGATTGATGTTTTATTGGAAACTTTATTACTTAATTATATAAAACTTAAAAGCGCTGATAGATGGTTTGATAAAATTCCTAAATTTTTACAAGATTTATAATTTGCGGAAATATTAGAAAGTAATTTGCTAAAATATAATTATGAAATGTATAAGTTTATTTCACTTCCTTTAATTAAATTTAATTTGACTTTAAAATCTAATGATAAAACTAAATTAGAATACCCAAATTATTAATATTAATTAAAATAAAGATATGTAAAAAAAAAAAAAAAAAAATTAATTGTAAAAAAAAAATATATATATATATAAATAGAAATCATCAATCGATATAGTAGAAAATATGCTAAGTAAAATACCTTATACTGATATTTCATATATAAATAAGAAAAATTTTATCCTTTAATATACATCGCCTTTATATTAAATAATATAGCCTTAAATTTTTAGTGTAAAAATAATTTCATTATACTTTTTTGATAACTAAATTTTTTTAAAAAGACATATTTAAGTGATTAAGAAAAGAAAGAAATATATACAAGTATAAGTATTATGGTTGATTTTTCTTTAAAAATGAATGAACATTAATACACTTTTGAAAAAAATGGACAAAAAGTGATTATTTATTTTAATCCTGCTATAGAAAAATTACTTATTTTTAATGTATATATTTTTTATTTATTTATTTATTAAACAATACAAAAAAAGTAAACTGTTCCTGAATAAAAATTTAACGATAAATCTCTTTATTTTATTAATAATAATTTTGAATTAATAAATTAATAAAAAGTTTATTTTAGTAATTTAACTAATGAAGTATGTATATTTAACTTTTATGCTTTTAATTAAAAATAAAAAATAAGGAAATAGAAAAGAAAAAGTTAGATTAAAAAAAGAAAAGTTTTAAATTAATTGATGATATTACTTCTAATAAAAGTAAAAAAAGAAAACTTAAATAAGAAGGAGATGATATTTCTTTTGTATACAAATTTAGGGAAGGAGTAAATATTCCAATAAAATATGATGTTAAAATGGAACATTTTTTTTATTTTTGATTAATTTAGATTTTATTTATACATATTTGATGTATAAAGAATTATTAATTTATAAAAATTTTAAGGTTTTTCATTTATTTAGTAAAAAGTAAAAAAGAATATAAAATAAAAAAAAATATGTATTTATATAATTTTTTTTTTTTTTTCGTATATTAAAAAATAAAAAAAAAAAAAAACATTAAAAAAATAAAAAATCACTATTATTATTATTAAAGCAATTATTAGAATAAGATTTCACATTTTTAAAGATTATTATTAAAATAAATAGTTAAATTTTACATTATTATATGATTAATTTTCAATCCTTTTTGATCCTCTAATAATTCAATATTTGCTTATTTTAAAGTGTACACAATTTCAGCTTTTTTCGCGTTTTCGTTACCAAAAAGTAACAATTTGTCTTTAATAACCTTTAGAATTTTCCATTAAACTCCCAAATTAGAACTTTCTAATTATATCTAATACTTTCCTAAAACCTAAGCTTGTAAAATTTTATCTTAGCTTTCAATTACTTCCAGAGCTTAGTATATTTAGAAAAGTTAGGGCCTTTTATTTGGATCATTGGAAAGACTATCGAGGATAATTTTAGACAACTTTTGAAATTTCTATTAAAAAGTTTTAGGTAATTCTCCTTTTTTTAACATATGAACTGTTTTTACTAATTCCATAGTAGTAGTCATAGGATAAAACATTTATAAAATAATAATCCCTAGGGAATATATATCAGCCCTATGATCGAAAATCTCCGATTTCAAAGAAAGTTACTCAGGAGACGCATATGTGGCAGTTCCACAAGTGGTAGAGATTTATTCTTTGGGTAAATAAAAGGGAATTTCAAACTATTACTATTTCCCATCAGAATTAGTTTGTAATAAAGGAGAATTCGATTCTGAGTTATTTGTGGATAATTGTATATTTTTAAACTATTCAGTATTATTAGTTTATGTGCTATTATTTGAGTTTGTAGTGAAGTTATTTAAAGAAATATTATTTATTTGTTTTTAAGTAAGTTTCTTAGCTAATCCGAAATCTCCTATTTTTACTTAAAGGTCTTTAGTTAAAAATATATTCTAAGGCTTTAAATCTCTATGTACTATATTACATGTATTGTGTATGTATTAAAGTCCTTGTATTATTTACTATAATATCAAAATTGCTTCATGTTTTTATGCTTGTGTTAATTCTAATTCATTTGAGAAACTTTTCTATTGTTATTAAATAATTGCTTAGTAATCTAATAATTATTTGTTCCGACTTTATATATATTCACATAGGGTTTCTTTACATAATTCTGTCTATAAAAAGAGTATTATTTCGTCGTATTTCTCATGGGTTTATTTTAGAGGAGATATAGGTGTGGAGATGTTTTTTTTGTTATCTTTCGGTGGCTTTTATATATGTATTTATTTTTCAATTTTTTATTATTCGTTCTTTTAAATTTATTGTTAAGAAAGTTATTTTTAAGAAAGCTATTTTTAAGAATTATCGTTAAATTCTATATTGTCGTTTTCTCCGTCTATTTATATGCAAAAATCATTTGTACATTCATTCTCACTATTGCTTTAGAAAGATTTTTTGATACTTTAAGTGCCTTAGGAGTTTTATTTAGAATGCTTTTATCTATTCGAGGTTTTTTTACATGTTACCTCAATCCAACTTTGGAAATATTTAATTATATTTTGGTGATTTAATTAGGATAAAATTTTAGCTTCTCGAGCTATTTTATCGAATTCGGTTTGTAAATCTTCCCTTGGGTTTTTTATTTTTAAATGTATCTTTTTTATTGCATATAAGTTTTCGTCTAGTTTATGTTAAGCTCTAAAAACATCAGCAAAACCGCCTTGACCTATTTTTAAAAGCTCAATAAATTCACTTTCATATATCTTATTTTTAATTTTTATTAATATATGAGTAAATGTAAATTGAATTTTAAGGTTTTTTATTTAAAAATAAAATATATAATGATGTTGAATATTTACTTTTTTTTATGAAAATCCTTCAAGTTTTTGGTATATCATTTATAATATATTATATTTATATTATATGTAGATGATATATTTATTTATGAATATATTTTTATTGACCTATTTTTAAAAAAAATTTGTCAAATTTTTATAATATATATAAAATGATTTATAAATTAAATGTTTTTTTAATGCATATTTATATTAAAAATAATTAAAAATAAAACTAATATATTAATTTTTTTTATAAAAAAAATATAAAAAAAAAAAATATATTATATAAACTAATTATTTATAATTATTTATATATTAGAAAAAAAAAAAAAATAATTTTATATTTCATAAATGAACATTAATTATAAAATAAAATCTTATTTTAAAGAAATAATTAAAATTAAAAACTTTTTTTTTATTATATATTATTTTAACCAAAATAAAAAATTCTGGTTTTTTTTTTATTTCATTTATTTATCTTTTAATCTTTCGTAATGTTAAATATAAATAAATTAATAAAAGAATAAAAACTATATATATAAATAAAAATTTAAATTTTTTTGTTAATATTAATAGTACTTTTATATTATAATTATAAATTTATGTAAAAAATTAAAGTCTTTTATATAATTATATATTAATATTATTATTATATATTATATATAATAAATTATAAAATAAAGATATTATTTATTTTAAAAAAATTTAAATTATTTCTATTATATTTTATTTTTTTGAAAAATTATTTTATTATAAATAATTTTAAAAATGATATAATAGTAAATAAATAAAATATTTATTATAATATATATATAAATATATATAAATAAAAAGTATATATATATTATATTTATATATATATTTACATGTATATTTATATATTTATATTTATTTATATATAAATATTTTTAATTTATTTAGTTTATTTAATTCATTTTTTTTTTTTATTTTTTTTTTTAATTATTATTTAATTATATTTATTATAAATAAATGAATTTTCTTTTTCTTTAAATTTATAATAATACTATTTTTATTTTTTTCTATTTACTATATTAACAAACATTATTTTTTTATCATTTTTTTTTTTCCTAAACGTTTTAATTTTCTTCACATTATTAATTTCTTACTTAATATTATTAATTTATTTCTTAACATTAATCTTTTATTTATATCTTTTATTAATATTCTTGAGATTATTAACAATTCACATAATCTTTTATAGTTCCTTTAGATTACTATAAATTCTCTTAATACTATTGTAAATTCTCTTAAGTCTATTACTATTTTTCATAAGACTATTATTAATTATCTTAAGCTTTTTAAATCTCTTATTATTGTTTTTATTCTATTTATTATTATTATTAACCTTATATTTTAATTTCTTAAAATTTATTCAAAAATACATCAATTTCATCATCTCCTTAATCATTTTAGATATTTTAACTTTCCAATTCTTTAATAGTTTTGAAATAATTTTCTTATAAATTTTTAATATTATCACTAAGAAGTTCAATAGAATTTGTATATTCCTCTATATTTTTATCCATATCAATTTCAAAGAAATCCTATCCAATAAAATTCACTTTTAAGCCTAAATTCTCATCTAAACGAAACTCTGGTAATCCATTATTATTTCTACATTAAATATATGGGTATAAAAAATCTATTTAGAATTCAAATTTGGAATGATTTTCTGTATATTTTTAAGAATTTTTGATAAAATTACTTATTATATTAATTTCTTCTTATATATTTTCCATATTCTCGACCACTTTTTTACAATGAAATATTTAATAGTCTTTCGGAGCACTTACACTTGAATTATCTAAATGTAAAATTGATAAAGGCTATTTTATTTTGAGAAAATCATTTGGAGGTACAGTATATAAAATAGGCAATTTTAAATTGTTTTTATTTTTTTGGGAATTATTTTCCTCGTCTTCTTATTAGTCTTAAAATTCATTTTGGGAAAGTCTTTTTTCCTCTTCTAATTATTCTTTGCTTTTTTTACTTAAAATAATTACTCTTAAAAGTAAAGTTTCTTCCAGTTTTTATTCTTCTTCTTTTTAATTTTAAAGCCCTAATAATTTCTAAAGACTTTCTTTATATTCAGGACCTGCTATTATTCCTTTTACTTTCAATTTTTTCTCATCTTTTAATAAATTAGTATTTATAAGAAAACATTTTTCGTTTTCATCTTTTTATATTTCCTATATATTTATATTTTAATTAATACAATATAAAGACCCGAAAACGGCGCTTATTCTCGCAAAGCCTTAAGGAATATCCCCTGTTCCATAATTAGTATAAAGATAAGGTAAATCAGTATGTATTCCACAACTTTTTATATATTTTTTAAGTCTACAAACAAAAGAATTAGTTGAATAGTCTTTTTTTATAAACGAAGGTATATTTAAGGCTGGGTTATACTCATAATTGCAAATATTATAAAGAAAAATATCTTTAATTTTTTAAGAAGAAACTTTTAGGTTTAGAAATGTCAAACAATTATCATCTTTTAAATTTTCAAAAATTTCCTATGTTTTTGGGTCTATATTGAAGTCTTTATCGAATTCATTTGTTGAGTTTTAGTTTATCTGATGATTTTGGCTTTTAGTATATAGTTTTATACGTGTATGTAGGAATTAAAATAATTATTTTTTTTCTAATAAAGATAAGTCTTTAGATTTAAAAATGTCACTTTTAGAACAAGGAGATTCTATTAATCTTTTGTTCTATTAATCGAAAAAATATATCCTATTTATAGCCCTAAAATCCATGTATTTGTCCATATCGGCCTATTTCATGCATTCTACGGTTAGACTTTCCGAAAAAAGAAGTTTTGGTTATAAATCTATATTAAAGCTTCTATAAAGAGCCGAATTTTCGACATGTTCTTTTAAAAAATTATCATTTTTTTCTTATTATTCGAGATCTTATATATCTATTTTTTTAAATATTTATTTTTTCAAAATATTAATTGTTTTTTATTCCTAGTTTATCATTTAATTTTTAAATTCTTTTAAATTTAATGTTTTTTGCGAGGAGCTGTAACCCTCATCACAATCTATTATTAATAACTTTATATATAAAAAATATTAAATAATTATTTAATTTCTTTACTTTTTTTTAATCTATTTTTGATAAAGAAGCTGCAAATAAGGCTTCTGTCATTCCTGTACCAAAAATACACATATCAAATTCGTTTTAATCTAAAGTATATTCTAATTAGTGCATACGATTATTTTTATTATTATATATTTATATTAATATATATATTTTTTATATATTTAATAAAAAAATAATAAATAAATATTTTTATTTTATAATATTATTTCATATTTTTTTTTTAGTATATTGATTTAAAATGGATAGATATATAATTTTATATTTAATATATATGAATTCTTAATTAATTTTTTATAATAATATTTAAATTTTATTTAATATTATTATTTTTTTCAAACTATAAATCTTTTTATAAATATTAAATTTATATGAATTATATGAAATTAAAAAAATTATAATAATAAAATATTGAACAAGATATTTTTCAATATTATTAAAAAAAAAATGGTTTTATATAATAAATAAAAAACTGAATACTATTTTTTTATTTTTATTCGAAAATGTTTAAATATTTAAAATAGAAAAATCTTACAAATAAAAAAAAAAACATAAAAATAATATATATTTTCTCTTTTATTATTTATATTTAACATAGATTTTCTTATTATTATTTTATTAACTCAAACATAAGTATTAGGTCTAACAGCCTTGTAAACTTTTCTGAATTTTTTATCGGAATGTCTATGAATAGTTTTAATAACTGGGAATTTTAATTTAGAATCCTTATTTAAAATAATATATATATACATAACAAATATAAATATACTCTCATTTCAAGTGATTTAGGTCTTCTAATATCACTCTTCTTTAAAAGAGTAGCAGTTCTGATAATTTAAATAGTATCAGGTTTAGCTCTATGATTACCAGCCATTTCCATATCTATATTATTATTTTATTTTTTAAAAAAATAAATAAATATTATTTACGAAGCTATGAAATAGCTCCATTCAATGTGGTGTCTCTAAATTCTTTGTACATATTATGAATAGCAGTTCTGGATTAATATTTAAGAGCGATTCCGTATGTTTTAATTTATCTAGTATTTTTTTCGAAAATTTCATTTACTGAAAGAATTCTTCCTTATGATCTTTTAATTTTGTTTAATTTTCTCATGTTGTACCTTTATTAATTAATTTTTTTTTTTTTTGAGGGGAGGGGGGGGTGGGTATTTTACCAGAATTTAGTTTTGGCAGTTACTTCGTCTCTTGCGAAAACTCTCATTTAAAGAATTTCAGGTTAATCTTTTGAAATAGGTAATTTAACAGCTGAAACAACATATTATCTAATCTTTTTTTTTTCATTAGATTAATAAATATTGTATATTTTTTATTTTGCAAATATTTATTAAGTATATTTTATTTTGTTTGTGTGTGTTTTTTTTATATATACTCTCATTTAAAAAGTGGGATCTTTTGGGTCTTAAGAAGCCTTAACCATTATTTTATATTTTTGCTTTTTTTTATTCAATAATATTATTTTTTTCTTTATTTTTATTTTTATTTTTGTATATATATTTTTTATTTTATTTTTATTTTTTTCTTTATATATATATAATTAAGTATATTTATTTTTTATCCTTCAAAATTAATACCTTTTAAATAAATAAATTAAATAAATGAATAAAAGAATGCTTTTTTATAAAAATAGTACTTTATTTTATTTACTATATTTTTAAATAAAAAAATAATAATAATAAAATGAAATTTTGTTTATATAGTTTAAATTTAACACAAAATATCTTAATTTAGCTGTTAAAAATAAGCAATATTTTAATTAAATTTATACTTTAATTTTTTAAAAATAAAAATAATATATTTTATAAAATATTTTAAAAATATAAAATTTTATTATTATATTTTTTAATTAAAAGATTTTTCTAAAAATTAAATTAATATAATAATTAAATTAAAATTGAAAAACAATTAAAATATTATTCATTTATATCATTTTTATTAAGTATTTATATTATATAATATAATTTTTTAATAATAATTAATTTATTAACAAAAAATACAAATATTTTTTATTTTTCTTATTTCTTTTTTTATTAAAAATTAAAAATAGGTAAATATAATAATATATTCATTTTTTTTTTTTTTTAAAAGATATGTTTTAAATTAAGCTTATTTATTTTTATTTTATACCTCATATACATAAAATGTTTTATTTTTAAAAAGACTATTTAAATTTAATCATATTAATAAATATTTACTTCTTTTATTTGTTTCACCATAAATTTTTAATTTAATATTTAAATTATTTATATATTATTGTTATAAAAAAATCCGTATATAAATATTTAATCCAATCAAAATAAAGATTAAAATATTTTTGAAATAAATTAATAATTTATATAAAAAAAAAAAAAAAAATTGCAAAAGCAATATAAAAAGCAGATTTATAAAATAACACAACTTTTCTTCGAATATATAAAAGAATACATGAACAAAATAGATTATTTAATAAAAATATCATTTATATATATATAAAATTTATAAAATATATATACATATATGCTTAAAAACATAATAAATAGTTAATAATTTGCTTATATTTTTTTATTTTTTTTTTAAAAAAAAAAATATAAAAATATATATAAGTATTATTTTTTATATAAAATAATTAAAATAAATTAGAAAAAAAAAAAAAAAAAAAAAAAAAAAATGGCTAGATAAAGTAGAAGTGCAAGTAATAATTAAAAAAATTTAAAAGATAAATAAGCATCTAAAAAAAAAGAAGTAAAAAAGACTGAAGAATCTACAAATAAAAAACGTAAAAACTCCTCATCTAAAGATTCTAAAATAGTAGCAGCCAAAAAATAAAAGCCTCAACAAACTAAATAAAAAAGTCCTTCTCCAGTAAAAAAAAGAAAAGGAAACAAAGGAGAAGAAATAAAATAAAAAGAAAAAACTTAAGCTACAACCTAATCTACTAATGATAATAAGAAAAACAAGAAAGAAACTTCCCCAAAAAAAGAAGAAAAGAAGACTTAATAATAAGAACCTAAATAATAATAGTAAAAAAAGAAGAAAACTGAAGGTTAAAAGAAAGATTTCTCTTAAGAAAATGTAGTCGAAGTAATTAAACATGTAATTAATTTACACAAATAATAAAAACTTGATACTCCTAAATTGATTGAATATATAAAGGAAGATTATAGAAATGTAAAAGAAAGTGAATTGCTTTTGTAAATTGGAGATCTATATAGATAAGGACTTTTATCTGAAAATAAGCATGCACTTTCAGTAGAATGTGAATTTGTCCCTAAAGAAAAATCTAATAAGAAGAAAATTGTGGAAGAATAGAAACAAGAAGATTTATAATAATAAGATTAATAATAATAGGAAGAAAAATAATAAGAAGAGAAAGAAAATAATACTTCTGCTTAAAAATAAAACACTAAATCTATCAAAAAAAATTCTTCTTAAAAAGATGCTGTTGTTTCAGCTAAAAAATCTGCTTTAAAAGAATAAAATAATGCTTCTACAACAAAAAGTAAAGCCGATGAATCTGCTTAAAAGGAAAAAACTGAAAGCTAATTAAAAATAAACATATTCCAGAATAGATGGATCAAATGGAAGTTGATGATGCTGTTGATGCTATCATGTAAGGAGAAGATAAATGAGAAAAAAAAAAAAAAATTAATATATTTTTTAATTATTTTTAATTATTTTTTTTTTATAATTTGGATTTTAGTTTTATTTTCTTAAAGAAACAATTAATTTTTTTTTTATTTTGTTTTTGTTATTTTTTCTTTTAATATAATAATAAATAATATGTTTTTTTTTTTTAAAAAAAAAAAATAAATATATAAATTTGTTTACTAATATTTTTTAAATATCTTTTATTATAAATATTATATTTTTATATATTTATATATTATATTTAATTTTATAATTTTTTTTTTTGAATATTTTAATTAATTTATTTATTTATATTATTTTATTTTATTTTTACATAAATTAAAGATTAAAAATTATTTTTAAATAATATAAAGATATTTTAATAATATGATTATATTATAAAAAACAATTATACATATTAAATATATGATATATCTTTTATTTTTAATTAATATATTTATACAATATATATATATATATATATATATATATATATATATATATATATATTGATATTGTTAATATATATGAGATATATATTTAACATTATTTCATACATATTTTATTTTAACAAATAAATAAATTGTATTTAATCTAAAATATAAATGAACAATTAAAATCCAAAAATAAATCCCATAACAATATTTAACCACAATCTATCTCCTATAAGTATTTATTATGTAACAACAGACTCATTCGAAAACGCGTAATTAATTTCAAGTAAATTAGTTGATAAAAAATTAGCAGCATGTGTAAATATTTTAGGGAATAAGGATTAAAAAATTATAAATAGCATTTATTTCTGGGATGGTAAAATTAATAATGATTCAGAATATTTGCTTATAATTAAATCAAGGACTAATCTTTTATAAGAAATCTCAAATGAAGTCAAGGAAAATCATCCTTATGATGTTCCAGAAATTATAGGAATGCCAATTTTTGGAGGTAGTAAAAGTTATTTAGATTGGGTTTTTGAATAAACTAAGGAACCTAATTAAAAAATAGATATATGAAAATTATAATGTTATTCATAGAATAAAAAAATATATAATATATAATAAAATTAAAAAAAAATATAAATTGTAGTATTTTTTAATAAATATGTGAAATTTGAAAAATATATATAATTTATTATTTTTAAATAAAATATTAAATATATATATATTTATATATATATATTTATATTTTTTTTTATATATATATATATATACAAATATTTATATATATATATATATATCAATTTTTAATTTTATAGAAAACTTAATTTTCAATATATTTAACTTTATTTCTATTGTTAAAGCTCAATCTCTTTTTTAATAAAATAATAATATAAAGTATTAATTAAATCATATAAAATTATTGGCTTTTCTATAAAACCTTCCATTCCAGCACTTAAACAGGCCTATTTTTCATTTGCATAAGCTGTAATCGCAAAAACAGGCGCTTTTTATATCTACCCGTTTTCCATTAAGATTTTGAGTTCTTTATGCGCTTTAATTCCATCCATCACTGGCATATTCAAATCCATTAAAAAAAGCTTATAATATTAATTTTCTTAGTTTTTAAAAAGAAGAGTTTTTTCGATACATTTTTAGCCATTCTCGGCTGTATGAAAGACTATATTTTTACATTTAGAAAGTAGTTTTTTTAAAACAATTAAATTAAAAGGAGTATCATCTGTGGCCAAAATAAAGGATTTTTCTTTAAAAATTTCATATAATTTTATCGTTATTTCATCTTTTTCTATAGTCTAAATTACTATACTAGAAGATAAAGAATTAATATTGATTTATTATGTATTATTTTATTTTTATATAACTGAATCATACATTGATTTTTATTTTCTTAAAGCTTATTTAGTATTTTTGATAAGTTTGCTAATTTCTAATGAAGTTCTTCCAATTAATTATAAGTTATTTTATTTTATTTATTTAATATAAGGAACAAACTTAGTATTATTTTCTGAATTATCAGATTAGGATGAAATAATAAGAGATTTATTAAGAATATCAATATTAAAGTCAATTTTATCACTTTTTAAGCTTTTTTCTGATTCTTCTGGTACAACCATTTATTTTATTGAATTTTACTAAAAGTAGAGTTTTCCGCGTTTTTTATTTACAATTTGTTCGTTTAAATTTTTCTATTATTACATTTTTAATAATAGCTTTTCGCGTATTTTGGCAATGTTTATTGCCTTTTTAGTCTCTTGGTTTTTAAAAAGTAAGAATTTAATCGAACTGCCATATCCTTGGACGGATTTGACAAATAAATTAGTAAAAGGACCTAAAAAACCAATTAGTTTTTTAGATAAATCAAGACCTAAGCCTGGGGACGTTTTATTGCTGTAGTTTTTGGAGTCTGATGTAAAATATATAGAATTGGCTGTTTATAAATTTCTTTTTAAATCATCATTCATTCCTTCTCCTGTGTCTTTTATTTTGATCCATATAAGATCGGGTGATTCATCTTTTACAATAATCTCTACTTTTCCAGAAGAAGTGAATTTAATGGAGTTTCCTAGAAGTTCAAAGAGAATTTATTTGATTCTTTTTTCGTCATTTATTATTGTTTTTATATTACTTTTATATAAAATAAGAAATTCGAGCTTTTTTTCTTATATTTATTAAAAGTGGATTTTTTGTATTTATTTAATGGCATCTTCTAGGTCAAAAATGACATTATTTAAATATATTTTTTTTTAAGTAGAAATTAAAGATAAATCAGAAATATTGTTTATTGAATATAAAAGAATAAGTCCGTTATTTTTAACGACAGCCAGGTTTTATATTGCTTCTTGGAAATATTTAATTTTTTTTTGTGTTATTAGCAATAAAGTCGTTTTTTTACATAATAATTATGCTCATCTAAAATTACATTTAGCATATAATCTGCTATATTTATGATACTATTCAAAGGAGTTTTGGATATATGAGAAATTGTATTGAATAATTCTACTTTATATTATTCTAATTCATGTAGTTTTTTATTAATAATTTTTTCTTTTGTATTGGATATTATTATAATTAAAGCAGGGCTATTATCCCATTGAATTGAATTAAACCTAAAATCAAATTAAATATCTTAAAACATCATATCGATACATAATTAAGTTTAGCTTTTTCTCTAATTAGTATATTGCCTTTAAATGCCTGTAAAAATAATACTTTATTCGCAATCCGATTGGGCTGTTTTTTTAATTTTGTTTTAAGATTAATAGTCTTGAATTTCGGAGATGATATTTTATTTTTCTTCTTTATTTTATATTTCTGTATTAAAAATACAATGATGAAAAAAAAAGTCTATTTATTCATAAAGGTTATATTAAAGATTTATTTATGAATTATTTTCTTAAGTATTAATTGAGATTTTTTTTAATGTTTCGAATATATTTTACTTAACATCTAATTATAATTATTATATGGCGACTTAGTTTACAAAAGAAATTTTCAGGTTTTTTTATTAATCGAATTTTTCATTTTCCTACTTTTTTTAATCTTCTATATTTGTTTTTTAGACTATTATGACTCCAGTAGATATTTTATGGTCTACTAATTAAAAAAGTTGGTCTTCATTTTAATTAAAAAGCCTTTTTTCTAAAAAAAGAGTTATTTCGTGTTTCCTTTCGACATAAAATAAATAATTCACAATAAAAAACTGTAATGTTTGTAAAATTATAAATATTAGACTGTATTAGGTTATTACTAAAAAATAAATGTATATACTTTATAAGCTGTTTATTAATATTATATAGGTGAAAACTGCTATATTTTAATTAAACATTATTATAGAAATAGAAAGCATCATTATATTTATAAATATTTTACTTTCATGTTAATTTACGTCATTAAATAGATTATAATTTGCGTATAAAAGCTGTAAGTTTTAAAAGGCGACTCCTATATTCCTAAATAATTATTTGGGCCTGTTAAAAATTACTATGAGTAAATCTAAAATCGAAATACTTAAAAAAACGTATGAACGAGTGTCTTTTTTTTCTAAATAAATAAAAACTCCAATAAAATAAATTGATAATATTAACTGAATTATTTTAAAAGAAAAGTCTGTTCGCGATAGTCTTTATTTGATAAATTTTTAGAAAATAAAAGGCTCTCCTGATAATTGATTTTCAATGTTAAAAAACTACCTCATTTTTATTATTATATATAAAATTCCGAAATTTTTAAATGTTAAAAGATCCTACTTTGTGTCTGATTTTATGGGTATTTATAATTTCATACTGGTTTAATAAGGTTTTTATATTTAAAATTAAGACTTTTGTCCAAATAAGAAATTTCTTTCGGAGTTTTGGGAGAGTGTAGAAATCATCTTATTTTTTTTTATTTTATTTTTTTTGATTCTTTTTAAGGTTAAAAAAGTTATAACTTTTATGAGTTATATAATATAATTAATTTTTAAATTTTATTGTAATTTTTTTTTTTATAATTATTATATAATTATTACTTTTTTTTAATTAATAAAAATTGTTTTTATAATTTTTTATATAAATTTATTATAATTAATTTACTTTTATTTAAATAAATAACATTATTATGAATTTATTTATGATTATTAAATGGCTTAAAATTCTTTTTTAAAATAAATAATAATTACAAATTTATTCAAATTTTTTTAAAAAAATATTAATTTTTAAAAACAATTTCTAAAGTTTCTCTATTTAAAAAAAAAAGTATATTAAAATTAAAATACTATGATTTTCATTTTTCTAATATTACATATATATGTATAAATATAAAGATATACTTTTTAATAAATAATATTATTTAATTAACATAAAATAGTTTTCAATAATATTATTTCATTAAAAAAATATAATTTATTTTATTATTATATTTATTTAATATTACAATTTTTTATATATAATATTTAAATCCAAATTTTAATTAATAGAAATTAAAAAATTTAAATTAAATAAAAAATCAAACTAATTAATTATTTTTTTAATATATATAATGTTATTTTTTATCATAATTAATTTAAAGATTCTTTAATAAAATAAAAATGATTTAAAATTATATATTTAAATATAATTTATATATATAAAAAAAATTATTTTTAACTTTTATTCTTAAATAAAAATTAAATAAAAAATATTTTAAAAATATATTACTTATTTTTATTTTACAAACATTATAAAAATTGCTAAAACATATTTTATTTAATTTTTTTATATTTAATAATTATTAATTATAATCAAATAACACTTATATTTACTTTTTCTATATATATTAATTTATATATAATTATTAATGTTAAATTATTTAAATATATAATATATTTTATATATATATTAAATATTAAATTAAATAATTATTTTATTTTATTTTGAAAGAAAAAAAAAAAAAATATTAAATTTAAATATTGTTTTAAAAGGAAAAAAAAAAAAAATTATAAACATTTTAAAAAGGAAAAATATTTAAAAATATATTAAAAAAAAAAAAAAAAGTAAAACCTCAAACAAATGTCAAATTTTTTTTTTTTTTACATAAAAAAGACATAAACCTTCAAATATATATACTTTTGTTCTTATTTTTATTCTCAAATAATATTTACTCTTTAAATTATATTTTTTATATGTTTTAAAATATATTTTATATAAATATTTTCATTTTTTTGTTAAATAATAAAAAACTAAAATATATAAAAAAATAAAAAAATGTCAAATAAATCTTCAAAAAAATTGATATAAGACCCATCATGCCATTTTTATAATCCATATTTTTTCAAATATCAATAATATAAGTCTAGATTCGTTCGAAAATGAACTCTTTTATTAAAAAATCCATAAAAAAAATCAAAAAAAAATAAAAAAATCCCAAAAAGAAAAAAATTATCCAATCAAATTAAATAAAAACAAAAATCTTTAAAGATTAAGGATAACAAATATAATTTAAATTAAAAACACTAAAATAAAAATTAATAATAATAAAAAAAAAAAAATTAAATAAATAAATAAAAAAAACAAGAAAACTAATAAAAAATGACAGCCCCTAAAAAAGCTCCCGCTTAAGCATAAGAAAAAAAAGTTAAATAACCTAAAGCTTAAGCATCTGGTAACAAAAGACACAAAAAAGAGTTGAAACTTTCGCCATTTACATTTTCAAAGTATTAAAATAAGTACACCCTGATGTTGGTATTTCTAAAAAAGCTATGAATATCATGAACTCTTTCATTAATGACTCTTTTGAAAGAATCGCTCTTGAAGGTTCTAAATTAGTTAGATTCAATAAAAGAAGAACCTTATCTTCTCGTGAAGTTTAAACTGCCGTTAAATTATTATTGCCTGGCGAACTTGCTAGACATGCTATCTCAGAAGGAACTAAAGCAGTCACCAAATTCTCATCTTCTTGAACATATTAAATATAAAAATTAATTTGGAAATATAAAATAAATATATTTATTTTGTATTATTTTTTTTATTATTATTTTTTAAGTGTTTATTTGTAATCATTTTTTTTTTTTTTAATATTTCATTCTATTTTTTTTATTTTTTTCTCTTTATAAATAATTTATGACAAATGTTTGTTGCATTTTAAAAATTTTCTCTTTTTTTTTTTTTTTTTTACTTAAAAATAAATAAATATTATATATTTAGTTTTTTTGAAAGAAAAATAAAAAAAAAAATTTAAAAAAAAAATTGAATTAATATTAATATTTTTATACTTTTTTTTATAAAGAATTTTTAATATAAATAATATTTATTTTATATAAATATTTTTTATATTTATTAATATTTTAGCGTTTAAATAGAAAACTAGATTTTTATAATAATTTTATTAAAATATTTTTATAATGTTTTCAAATTGTTTTAAAATATAATGTTTTTTGCAAATTATTATATATATTTATGAAAAATATAGTAATAAATAGTTTTATATATGAAAAATTTTTATTTTTTTTTATTTTTTTTTAAATTATTGGTTATGGAGTTTGTTTTTTTTAATATTATATTTCAAAAAAATAATATGTTTTTAGTTTTTATTTTTTATATTTAATAAAAAATAAGTTAATAATATAATTATTTTCAGGAACATTATTAATCAATTTATTAAAACAATCTTTTTTATTATAAATTTTTTATTTAAATTAAAAAAAATAAAAATAAGTTAATTAATTGCGTTAATTGATAAAATATTATATTACTTTTAATAAAGAGAATAAAAAAAAATAAGAATTTAAAGTTAAGAAAATAAATAATATTAATTAAATAAAAGCATTTATAAAAGAAATTTAAATATTAATTTATCCTATATCAAAAGAATATATTAATTTTTATTTAAAATTTTATATTTATAAAAAATAAAAGCTAATATTTTCTGATTAAAAATTCTTGTTTATAATTAATTTTTTTCCATCTAATAATTTTATTTATTACTTAAAAATTTAAAATAGAATAAGGTTTAATAAAAATGTTATTTAAATTAAAATATTATTAAAATATATAATATTATGATTATTTATTTTTATTTTTATTTTAAATTAAATTATTTATATTTAATTTTTTATTTTTTTCATTAGTTTTAAATTACTTTATATATTTATAATTTAAAATATAATTTACACAAGCCTATATTAAATAGTCTATATACTAATTTGACGAAATTGATGGAAAAATAATTTTAATCAGTACAAATTAAACTGAAGAAAAAATAAAATTAAAATAAAAATATATCAAAATATTTATAAGAAATAATATTTATTTTTAATATTAAAATAAGTAAATATATACTATTTTCATTTCTTATAAAAAAAAATAAGAAAAAAATAAGAAAAAAAAAAAAAAATAAGAAAAAAAATTAAAATTAAATATAATTTTACATCCATCATAATAAACATGCCATAAAATAATTAAGAAATGAGTTTTATAATTAGACAATAATAAGATTATTTTGAGTAAAAAGTTGACTTCGTCCAATTAACTGATTGGGTCATAAATTCCATTTGGAGAGACCTTTATGACATTTATACCATAAAAGTCAAAAATCCAAATTTCCTTAAAACTTCATTGTTTTATTTAAAGGAAACTGAAAAATTGCCATAAATTTCATTTAAAAAATATATTTAATATATTTTAAATAATTCACAATGTTCTGATAATTGTCTTTTAATTTGCTTAATAATATTTGATAGATTTATTAAACAAAGTCTTTTAAATTTCCCAAGAGTCCATATTTACAAGTAATTAATTGTTTAAATTTTTTATTATTATTTTTTTTAAAAAAAGATTATTTGCAACTTGTTATTGGGTTTGTGTGAAGTTTTATGAAGACATTAATTTCAGTGATAAGCATTTCGCAAGAAATATCGCAAAAATCTCATATAGAGAGTTCATTTAACTATAATATGAATTTTTGGAATTATTGAACTATAAATTGTTTGTTTCTGAAGATTATTTTAATTATTTTAAAATTCTTATCTCAAAACTTAACTAAATGAATATGATTTAGGCCTGAATATATTGCCTTTTTAAAAAATTTAAAATTCGGAAGAACTGTAACCAAATATAAACTTAAAAAGGAAAAAAAAAAAAAAGCATGCATATAAAAATTATAAAAGTTAGCAAAAACATAAAGATTACATTAAGAAAAAAAAAAATAAAAAATTATATATTAAAAATATAAATAATTATTTAAATTAATTAATTTTTTTTTAAAAAAAATAATGTATAATAATTTAAAACTAAATTTATATTTTATTAATTTTATATATTTAATACCTTTAATATAGTCGATATAATAATTATATATATATATAAATATATATATATATATATATATATATATTTATTATGCTTATTTTTTTATTTACAAATTTCTTATTTTATTTATTTTAATTAGTTTTAGTTAATTAATTAATTTATTTTTTTTAGCCTTACTTATTTAAAATTCTTTAATTTATATATTTAATTAAATAAAGCAGTATTTTTTTTTAATCATTTTGCGTATAATTATTATTATTAATTTATTTGTAATATTTAAATTGTATTTTTTAAAAAAACTCATTTAATTTAATATTATATTATTTAAAAATATATTATTTTAATAATTAAATATCGCTTTTTTCTTTTTAAAAAAAATTATTTTTAATTAAATTTTACTATAATTTTAAATTACATATAAAATACTTATATTTATAATTCTTCTTATCTTATTAAATAAAAATATATTAAATGTGTTTTCCTAAAATTAAGACATTTATAAAAATTAAAATTTCAATAATTTAAAAAGAAATAGTATAATATATATAACTTATAATTTTTTATTTTATAATATTTAATATTTTAGATTATCTAATAATAATACAAATCAAACTTATTTAGTATTTACTTTTTTTTCTAATTAATATGTTAAATTATCTGATAAATTATATAATTATACAATTCTAACTTATTTAGTATTTTTTTATTTTATCTATTCTAATAAAATCATTAAAATTTAAATAATTTAATTATTATGACTTAATTTTATAATTTCAGAATTTCCAATTAAATAAACAATAATAAATTTAAAAATGAAATTCATCAATTTCTGATTTCTTCTCAAATATATCATATATTTGACTTTCTAAAAATTTTTACAAATACAATTATTCTTTCTTAAATTATATATGCCCCTCTACCTACTATATTTATACCGAAAAATATTTTTAAATAGTTATATTATTCAATAGTAGTTATAACTATATTAGATTTTTTTTAATTCTAAATTATTATATATACTATTGTAATTTTATTATTATATTTTTACTTCTTCTTTTATTGTTTGATTTTTTTTAAAAACAAAAAATATATTATATTCTTTACTTTTTTACTTTAAATTAAAAAAATATTATATTTATAATATAAATTTAAACAATATATATTAATAAGTATATTTTTTCAAATGAATATTTATATTTATAAATAATCTAAATAGCCTAAAACTAAATTCTGAATAAATTAATATATTAGTTTTATTATTTTTTTTGTATTAATTTTACAGTATTATTTAATTATTTTCTTCTTAGATATAATAGAGATGTACATAAATTAACCAATCTAATTTTTAATTTGAGCTTCTTCATATTATATAAGTTATATTTAAAGAATTTATTTAATTAATTATTTTACATTGGTTTATTCAATAATATTTTTATCTTAAATAAATTGATTATATAAATACTTATATATTAAATACCTGTTTTCCATTTATGTATGCTTTTTTTTATTAGTCTATTGTATTAAAAAGTTCTTATTATTTCTCATAAAATTTATTTAAAGTTTTTAATATTTTTTATATTGCGAACTGTAGAAATTTTATTGCTTTAAATATTATTATCATTACTTGTTTTTTGAGGTTTATTCACAAAGCTATAGCTTTTTTATCCATAAAAATTAAATTTAAATAAATAAAAATATTATATTTTTTTAATAATATTAATAAATAATTACGAATTCATTTATATTATTCCTCAATATTTGCAATATAAAACATAAATTATGGTAAACTCTAATGTTTTTTATTTATTTTCTTAATTATAAATTTAATTTTTTATTTTTTACTTCTTTTAGATAAAATAACCTTCTTAAAAAACTTTAAATATTGTATTTTTTATCAAACATTAAATAAGCATATATCAATATATTTTATTTAATTTAAAAGCTTAAATGCACACATATAATTATTTATAAAGAAAGGTTAATGTAATAATAAATTTAGCGATTTTTAAAAAAAATATTTTTTATATATTCAGATGGATTTATAATAGGTAAAATATTATTAAAAATGATTTAATTAAATAAAATTGAAAAAATTACTGATTTTATATACTTTCATATAATTTAAATAATAATCGATTAATATTTGTATTGTTTTATATAATATGTATATCTAAACACAAAAAAATATTATCTATATAATATAAATTGTTTTTATTTTATTTTAAATTTTCTATAAAATAAATTTAAAGTATATAATGATAAAATAAAATAAAAACAATATTATAAAACAGTTATTAAAATTTAATAATATTTATAAATAGATTTAATACTATTAATAATTATTTAAACAATATAAATATATATATATATATATATATATATATATATATATTTATTAATTTTATATATATGTATTTTTTTTATCAAGTATTTATTAAATTCCTTTTTTTAAACTCGTCTTTAATTAAATTATACTATAATTCGACACTACTTAATACTTATAATTATTCTTAAGCTCTTCTGATTAAATAAGGAATCATTATATGTGTTTCACCGAAAGGAACATATTTATAAACAATATAACCCTTGAATAAATATCAGTATATATGAAATATTAATATATATTTAAAATATACTTTTTCAACTAATTAATATGTTAAATTGTCAGATAAACCCAATAGTTAAGCAAAGTAAACTTACTTAGTATTTTTTATATTTTTTTATTATAAATAATCAGTAACCATTTAAACTGTTTAACAATTATGACTACCTACAATAATTTCTGAATTTCCGCTAATATTATCAATAAGAAATTTCAAATTTGAATTAATCATTTCTGATGTTTTATCAAAAGAATCACAAATTGGATTTTCTATACCTTTTTTTTTAGCAATTCTTGATTCTTCATTCATGTAAGCTCCTCTAACCATTTTTATACCAAAAGGTATTTTTAAATAATTACATTTTTCAACTTCAAATATAATTCTATATTTACTTGACTTTAAATAGTTTTATATTGTATTATATACAATGGGAATTTCTTTATTATATTTTAACTATTTTTTTTTATAAATAAAAATTATTTTATTATAAATAATTATTTTTAACTTAAAATTATTAAATAAAACTATCTATAGATTATTGAATGTAAGTTTGCTCAGCATCTATTAAAACTCTAGTTTTATTTTTGGAAGCTGTATCTAATACTTAATTCATCCTTCTAATGAAATTCTCAGATTAATTAATTTATTAATTTTATAATTTTTGCATTTATTTTACAATATTATTTTGATTCTTTTCTTATTAAATATAATAGGGATGTACATAAATTAACCAATCTAATTTTTTGATTTGAGTTTCTTCATAATTATCATTTATAAGTTATATTTAAAGAATTTATTTAATAAATTATATCACATCAGCTTCTTCAATATTATATCCATCATTAATAAGTTGATTAAATAACTATTTATATATATTATATATTTATATTAATTAAGTAAAATACCTATTTTCCAGTAATGTAGCCTTTTTTTATTGATCTATTATATTAAAAAGCTCTTATTATTTCTCAGAAACTTTATTTAAAGTTTTTAAAATCTCCATATTGCAAACGGCAGAAATTTTCATAGAAATTTTATTGTTTTGAGTACTATCACCTATTTTGGCAGTTTATTCAAAACATTTAGCACTTTTGTCCATAAACTTTCAAAATATATAGATATAATAAAAAAAAGGAAATAAAAACTAGTTTAGTTGTGATTTTTTTAATTATATAAGTTTCAATTGTTTTTTATTTATATTATTATAATTTATATATAGATAATAGATTACAAATTCATTCTAATCTTCATCAAGTGCTTCACAGCAATAGTCATAAATAACAGGAACACCTATTTAAAACTTGAAATAAAATATATTGATTTTATGTATACTTCTTTTAGATAAGTTTTATTAGCATTTAATAACATCTTATATATTCGCACCTCCTGTAAATATTCTTCCCATAGTGTTTTTAATTATAAACTCAGTAAGTTTGAATCCAAATATTTAAGATGAAAATTTATAAGCATACATTGAATTGTTTACAAAGAAAGGGGAATGAAGTAATTTATTTACAAAGAATAAGTTAAATAATTCTAAATGAGATTTTTCTTTATAAATTCTTAAAGATTTATAATAATTAAGTTATTATTCTTATTAATCGTTTAATTAAATGGAAGTAAATGAAAATCTAGTTAAATTATGTATAAATCTTTTCTATAATTTTATAGGTTGATTATTCATTGTTTATAAAAAATAATTATTTGTTTTTTAGCTTTTTTTTTGATTAATGTATTTTAATTAATTTTTAATTGATATCGTAATATTATTATTTTTTAATTTTATTATATATATATATATATAAGATATATAAGATTCAAAATTATAGATAATTTCGGCATATTATTATTATATATTTCTTAAAATAATATCAATTAAATAAAAATTGTGATTATTATTTTTTTATAATTATTTTTTTGAAAATCAATTATATAAAAGCTATGACTTAAGAAAAAAAAAAAAATAGAAATTTCTATATTAGAATTAAATAATAATTATTATATATTTTATTTTAATATATAATAAATATATATTAAAATAAAATAAATAAAAATAAAATTATAATCTAATAATCATAAATTAAAAATAAAGAAATTTTATAAAAAAATATATATATAAAAAAATATTAAAAAGAAAACATATTTAAGTTTGTAAAAAATAATATTTTTAAAAATTATATTAATATATATATATAAATTAAAATTTTATATATGATTTAAAAATATGTGAATTTATATGATTTATTGTATACAATCTATAATATTTAGCATAAAAATAAAGAATGAAAAAAATTAAATTAATTTATTTTAATAAAAAATAATGATATATGTATATTTATATTTATATTTATATTTATATTTATATTTATATTATAAAAATATTTTATATAAATTAAGAAAATAATACTTTAATTTATAAATTAATTTTTTGAAATATAAATTTTATATTAATTAAAAAAATATTAAAAGAAATAGTGAATATATAATTGTAAAATTTTATTTAAATAACATTTTATTTCATAATACATATATATATCTATATAATTTTTCTATACAAATATTTTATTTTTCTTTAATATTTTTTTTTATTATTAAATATAATTTCTTTTTAAAGTCTAATTATGAATATCTTTTTCATTATCTATGATAAAAAAATAATATAGATTTTAAAAAAATTATTTTTAAGGATTATTAAAAGTATTTATAATTATTTCTATTATAAATCATTTTATTCAATATTATCAAAAAATAAATTTTTTAATATAGCATTGTCTTTTAGTAATTTACAGTTTTCTTTTTTATAAATTATTAGTTTTATAAAATTAAAATCTTTTTATAAAATAAATCATTTTTTCTTTTTATTAATTATACTTTATAGAAAAACATTAATAATAAAAATGGTTTTAAGTATTTTAATTATTTATTAAACAAAATATATTAGTTTTAATATAAGAAAAATTAATTCACATTTTTTTATTATTATTAAATATACATTAAATCAATACTTTTTAACATTATTATTTTATCTTTAAAAAACAGAATCGAAATATAAGGTATATGATTATATTTATTTCTTTTATTAAGGCTTTAAAATAAATTATAGAAAAAATTAATAAAACATACTAAAATGATAAATATATATATATTTTCTAATAAATTATATTATTTTATTAAAAAAATCATATAAATTTAATAAAAGAATATTTATCATAAATTAATCTAAAAATATATTTAATTAATAAAGTAATTACAATATAATTTTAAAATATTAATTGATTTAAAATTATAATAATTATAACTTTTTAAATATTATTTAATATAAAATTATTTTTAATAAATATTTTCTTTAAAAAAAAAATATAATATATATTCGATAATTTATTTTTATTAAATATGAAATATAATTAATATATTTTATTACAGTTTAATTAAATTCTTATATATATTCAAATAAAGTAAAATAAATTTTATGTTATTAAAATAAAATAGACTTAATTAAAATTTAATATTTAGAAATGTTTTTTAGTTATTGTATATATTAAGATTAATATAATTGTTTTTCATAATTATTTTAAGTTTTCTATGATAAAATAATATTTAATTTTAATTTACAATTTATAAAAAAAATACATATAAATATTTTCGATAAAATAAATAATTTTTATAAATATATTAATTATAACTTAAATTTTTATAAGTAAAAGTATATAAAGTGTAATGTTTTATAAATATAAAAATTTTTAGATATTTTCGAAGATTAAAAAACTGGATTAAATAAACTTATTTTTATCTTTAAATTTTTTTTTTTTTTTTTTTTTTCAAAAATTTATTTTAATTTAATTTTTTTTTTTTTTTTGAAGAAAAAAATAAAATGATTAAAATGTATATTATATTGAAATATATATTGAAAAATATATAAACTTTTGCCTGATAATATTATAAAAGAGGATATATAAATTAGAAAGTATATTTTAAACAGTTAATAAAAAACAGCTCCTCTTAATTATTTTATTAAAATAGAAAATGCTCTAATAATTAAAATTATAAAAAATAATTTAATATATATTAAATATATATATATTATATCAAATAATATATTAAATATAATAATTTAAAATATTAATTTATTCCTATATTAAAAATTTACAAAAAAATATTACATTTAATAGAACATCTTTTTTTTATTATTTTTTTGTAAATTTTTTAATTCATTTATTTAATTTTTTGTATGTTTTTTAAATATAAATAAATTTTATTTTTTTTTACAAAAAAAAACATTAAAAATTAAAATAAAATAATTTGAAAAATTGAAAAGTTATTAAAATGATAAATAGCTTCTAAAGCATAATATATATCGGCTAGATTTGTTAATTATCAAATAAAAATATGCAATTTAATTATAAAATTTATAATATATAAAATTATGGCGAACTAATATCAATATAGAATAGATTTTTTGAGTAAACAAATATTATTTAATAGATAAATATTAAAGGGAAATATTGGAATTAAAGATATTTTGAAGAATAAATAAATTTTATATTAAATAAGAAAAAGAAATATTAATTAAAAAACATATATATAGAAATTTTTATTGTTGAATTAATTTTTTTTTATAAAGTTAAATTTAAATAAAATTTTTAATTTAAACAGGAATATTTTAATATTTTTAAAAAATAAAAATAAGGAAATTATTAACTATTTATAGTCTTTAAAATATTTAAAAATATAAAATATTGAAAATACATAAAATAGATGTGAAGATAATATATATAAATTATTTGTAAAAGAAAAACTATTTTAAAAAGAAGAAATTAAAGCTTTAAAAACCATATAATAGAGATATTTGCTTAGAAAACCAAAGAAATAACTTAAATATATAAAATTTACAAAAAAACATCGAAAATTATTCAGATATGAAATACTAAAATGATAAAAATAAAATTAAATTAAAAATTAAAAAAATATTTAATTAATTTAAATAAAATTAAATTTAATATATAAAAATATAATATATTATTTAAAAAAAATTAAATAATACCTATGTAGGATTAAAATATTTAACTTAATTAAATTGCTGAAAATTTTATAAGATTTGGAACATTTATTTTTAATATAATTATAAAGAATAAATTTAAATCTATTTTTTAAAACAAAAAAATTAAATTTATTATATTAAAAATAATTATTTTTATATAATTTATTTTTTTAATTCATTTTTTTTTTCATTTAATAATTTTAATAATAAATTAATTATGTTAATCAATATGTATGCATTCCGAAACTTCATTGATTATATCTTTATCTCTATTACTTTTTTCTAACGTTTCAACTTCTAGTGTAATAATTTAATTTTCTTAATACTGCAATTAATTAGTTTAAAAGTTAGTATTTTATATATTAAAAGCCTCTATATTAGTATATTAGTTCGAATTATTAAATTTAAACCTTGATAAAACTTTAATATTCTACTCATGTCTACAAAAAGGACAATTTTATTACTTTTCTAGCCAATCTCGTAAGCACATATCATGAAATAAATGTCTACAAATAGTTATTCTACATTCACTTTAATTTATTATGAAATCTTCTAAACATATAGGACATTGGGATTATGCGTTTTTGCAATAAATTTATATGCTTTTATTATATTATATTAAGGGCATAAATTCATTTATTTATTATAATGTAAGTTATACATTCTATTTTTTAAAAATTTACTAATTTTATTATTATATATTTCTGATTCTCATTTAATCTATATTTTTTTATTTTTTTGTTTAAATAAAATTTATTACTTCTTGTCCTTATTCGGTTTTTTTTTTAATAGAATAGATAGTTGCATGTAAAAGAATAAAAAAAAATACAATTGAAATAATAATGTATATTAATTACATGCATACTTAATTATCTTCTTCTTCTTCTTTATTAACTCCATTATTTATTATTGTCAAATTTAAATATTCGCTTTATAATTTAAATACTGCAAAAATAATCCTAAATGGGGATATATTTAAAACGTCTTTATTTAATTTTTATTTATCAAATGTAAAGTTCATTAAAAAAGAATTTTCTTTCTATTATTTAGCCTAATAAATTAAATTTTAAGAAGTTAATAAAGGTAAATATAAACCTTTTTCTTTTTCTTCTATAGTAATAGAAGTATACCATTATGTATCCCCTATTAATTATATATAAATAAGTCCTTAAATACTATTTAAATCATAAGATTCTAAATAAAAATAATATGGTTCATCTTATTTAAGTATTCTAATTTATTTATTAATTTATATATCTTTTTGAATATTTAAATATACTTTATAAAATAAAAAATATTTATTTACTTAAATTTAACTCTAAAGCATTCCTCGAACAATCTTAATCAATAAACCCGTCTTAACAATTACAAAAAGCTTTTTTAAAAAAAATTTAACAAGATCCTTTATCAGAACAGTTATTTAAGCATTTAGGAATTTGTTATTGCGTCAAAACATATTCTATTTAATATTAAAATTATTAGTTTTTATCTTCATTTTTATAAACTTAAAATACAAAATATATTGTGTTTTTTTGTTAAACTTAATATTCTGAGTATTCTTAGAGGTTTATTTATATTTATAGAATTTTCTTTTTGGAAAAAAAACCATTGTAATCTATTATAGTTTTCAAAGATTGTAAATCTTTATATGATAAAGTATCATCTATTTTTACTTCTGAAGGTTTTTAGTTAATATTCGCTTGTATTAAATATGCTGTGTTCTTAAAAAAAGAGTTATTTAAGTCTGATTATTATGAGTTTTCAATTATTTTTAATTAAAAATAAATAATTGAGTTGTCTATTTTATCTAAATCGTATTTAAAATATAATTTGTTTTAAGATTGTAATTAGGTTTTTCTTTCATTTAATTTTATATTAAAAGGGTAATAATCTAATGTACCTTCTTAGAGTATTCTTTATGATGATATTTTAAGGTTTTTAAACCACAGCATTAAGAATATTATTTGGAAATACATATTATTTTTCTATTGTTACAAGTGTTTAAAAAATAAAATATTTATAAAAATTGTAATTAATTAAAGTATTTATATATAAAAAAAATAAAAAATATTTATTATTGATATATATATATAAAATAAATATAAATTATTTATTTTAAATATTTTTATTTTGTCTAAAATATTTTAATTTTTTATTATATAATATTATTGAATATCTTTTTAAATAAAAATATTTTATATTTTTTTATATTTTAACTTAATTATTTAAAGGATATTTTTTATATTTTTATCTTAAATGAATATAATATTTTTGTTTTTTTAAAATATAAAACTTTTGTTATTAATTTATAAATAAGCTTAAATAAATATATCTAAGTATAATAATTAATTATACATTCGAATTCATTTTAAAGGTTAAATACAATCTTTATATTCTATATAGGGTCCAAATTCTGGTCTTTTTTCATTTTTAATATCAGCCTTTTTTACACTTTAAAAGTTATTTAGGACTATTTTTATTAAAAATAGAATATATTATATTTAAAATAAAAATAAAACCATTTTATATGCCATCTACTCCTTCTGTTAATACTCCTTATGGTATTTTATTGTCTGATGAAATATTTTTTAATCTTATAATATTTTCTCTTTCTTCTCTTTTTTTTTAATTTTATTTATTTAAAAAAATAAACAAATTCAAATAAAATATAACCTTAATGTATTTTATAATTTAGCCATTTTCGAAATAAATTTAATTTTATTTCTTAATAAATTTGCTTCTTTATTTATAAAAAATAATATGTTTATTTAACTAAAAAAAAATACTTTCAACCAACTACTTTTTATCATTATTTATTTATGGATTCTATTAATTTTAATTTGTAATATATTTTTACAATTTTTTGTTATCAGTTTCACTTAAATCATCACCCGAAACAAACTGATCATCATCATTAACCTATTAAATAATACAATGAATAATTTCAGTAATTTTTTCAGACACAAAAGGAATACTCCAGGTAAAAATATCCATAAAATTTGGCAACATATAAGGATGTGGTGTAAAATTATATTACTATATATTAAGTGTATTATTTTCAAATTTAATCACAGCACCTTTATTATTATAAACATCACAATAATTAGGCGCGCTAAAAATAGTAATAACCATAGGAAAGTCCTATCCATTCCATTTATGCATCTCAAAAAATGTATATTAAAAATAATATATATGTATATATATATATATATATATATATATTTATATTTTTTTATATATTAGATATATTTTTATTTATTCATAAACATTTATATACACATATAATTACTTTATATCCTTCTAATTATGCCTCATGTGCCCGTATAACTGAAATCAAATTATTATCATTTAAAAATCTCTTGACAGCATTATTACCATAAAAATATGAGCAACCTCTAACTTCATTTTATCTATAAATACTTTCTTGATTCCCGTTTTCATTATCAACTGGGTCACTCCATAAAATATCACAAAAAAGTCCTATTTTTGGGGGTTCTTTAAATCTATTGATATTCCTAATATCTTCAAGTGATTTCAATTCTGGAGATATACCGCCATGGAAAGCTATAAACTTATCATTTAAAATACAAGATAAAGGAAGGAGGTCAAATGAATCCATAAATAATTAGTATATCTCTTAGTCATACTTATATTTACATTCTTCAAGGAAATTAAAAAAAGAAGTCATTTAACGACACTCATGATTTCCTCTAAGGAAATATATAGAAGAAGGATAATTTATCTTTTTTTTTTTTAGATGTGCTTCTTTTTTTTTTTGTTTACTTTTAAAGAATATAATAATATTAAAACTTCTATAGAAAAACTTCCTCTATCAACGAAATCTCCTAAAAAAAGATATTTCGTTTTACTTGGATTTCCTCCAACTTCTAAGATTTTTAATAAATCATAAAATTATCTAAATATTATATAAAATACATATATTTTTATAATAAAAAAATTTATATATATATATATATGTATTTTTAAAAAAATTGACCCATGTATATCACCTACAACTGTTACAGGATCGCTCATTTATAATAAATTTGGCTCATTTTCTATTTTTCGTTTTAAATTTATTAATAAAAATTAATTTAAATTTTATTTAATAAAAGTATACTTAATATTCTATTGCATTCGTATATTAATTTTATCAAATTTTCTTTGTCTATTTTGCCTTCTTTTTATAAATGATCACTTATTTATTTCCAATTTGGTTTATCATCTTATAAAAAACGATTTTAATTTTCCTTAAAAATTCAATATATATTTTTTCTTTAATACGTTTCCCCCACATTAAATCTTTTGAAAGTGGCCTGTGGACTGGAGGCTTTATCTATTTTACTATACGGTCATTATTTGGATCGTTTAATAACTCCATTTATTTTTTAAAAATATATTAATAATGATTTTTTTGTTATTAATTTAATAAAAAATATGTATATAAAAAAAAAATTATCTATAAATTATTCTTATTTAATTACTTTTATTATATTATATTTTTAATAAAATATTAATTATTAAAAAAAAAAAGGTCCTGCAGGGATTCGAACCCTGGTCAAGGGATTTAGAGTCCCCAGTACTAACCGCTATACTACAGAACCGGATACTAATAAGTTTTATTTAATAAAAATAATAGTATTTTACAAAAAAATATTATAAAATAATTTCAAAATAAAAAAAAGAAAAATTCATTAAAAACAAAAAAATTCCAAATAATATATATATATATAAATAACAATGTTTTTTATTTTATTTTTAAATAAAAAAAAACTTCAAGCAATAGTTCCCGAGGCATCTCTTTTCAAAATATTAAGAACAGCCCTATAAACAATAGAATCCACTATACTAGCCACAGTGAAAATTCCCCCAATAATGGCACAAATTTATACTAAGAAATGTAAAAAAGACTCTTTTTGCATTGAAAACTTAACTGTAACAGGCGAAAGATCATATCTATAATACACTGTAGGTAAATGATTGTTAATTTATTCATTAGAATTATATGTAAACTAATATACATGATAATTTTTATTCCCTGTATCTACATAAGTAGTAGGGACAATATTAATATAATATTAATAAGTAATCCCATTTAAAATGTTTTGAGGCTTATCTTTTTATTTATTATCCATCGGATGCAATAGTCCTTAAGAAAATTATCTTTTAATATTTTTTAGATCGAATTCATCCCCAAAAGATAAATGCTTCACTTTATGGGATAAATCAATAGTATTTTTACCAGCATTGGAAAGCACTTAACCTAAAACATGGCCATAGGCATGAGAAGAAATATGGAAATTTCCTGGAACCTTATTCACGAGCATTGTACCGGAAATATTACATCCTTCTTTATCCATATAGGCTTGAGTTGCTCTTTATAAATTGAATTCAGAATCATCGGCTCCCGCTTTTAATAAATCAAAATAATTACCATCACTTGAAATTCTCCTTTTGTTTATTGTGCCTTCTATATTTACTGTATGGGAACCCATTATATCTTACATATCCAAAGAAAGGATGTCGCAGGGAAATTTAGGGAAGTCTATGTCGAGGTTTACCTTTATTTTTTAACCACCACGGACTATATCTATGAACATTTCGCTGGTTTCTTCGATGGCTAAAAAACTACGTAATTCACTTATGAATAATATTAGGACTATTATGCCACATATTATTGATACTACAGCCCCTGATGTGGTTGATTAGGTTAAATCAGATGGGAGCTTGCGGTACATATCGAATGATTTTATGTTCATTTTTATTTACTTTTTTTAAAATAAAGTTTTTTTTTTTTATTATTATATTTCTTTTTGTATTTTTTTTATTTTAAGGTTTTTGTTTATTTGATATTTTTTGAATTTTTTTTTTTTTTATTAGAAAGATATTAAATAATTTATTTAAAAAGCAAAAAAATTAATTCTCATATAATTTTACGTGTTTAAATATAAATAAATTTATTATTAAAATTATTATTAAAATCTTTTTCATTTAAAATAAACAAAATTTAAATATTTAGTTAATAAAATTAATCTCAAATAAAACTAATATTTTTAGCGAAAATAAAAAAAAGGAATGTCAAAGGTAAATTAATTACAAGAAGGTTAGGGTAAAAATATTATTTTGATATGTAGCTTAATAAATAATATCGCGTTTGATGGAATTATTTAACTTATGGATCCTAAATCTAAAAGAAACCCATTTAATTAAAAATATCATACAAAGTTTTACATAAAAATAATATTATCTGGTTTCTTTTTATTATCTTTAAATTTGGTTCTATTTTAAACATTTAAAAGTCAAAATTTTTACGAAAAATTAAATGTATGTAGAACTGCCACAATTCAAGAAATAGATTAATAATATAAAGTAAAAGTTTAATAAATAATGTTATACTAAAAAGGATATTATCAGTAATAATAAAGTTAAAGCTTGAAATTTTATGATGATATATATCATATTTTAATAAATCCAGCAAGAAGAAAAATATATGATAAATATAATATTTAAGATCCTTAATATGCATTTTATCTAGGTTCAGGATTTAAATTATAGAGAATATTATAGATATGTATACTTTATTTAATTTTGTTAATGGCTAGTATTAGTAACGTACATAAAAAAAATAAAGGATTTATAAAATACTAAGTACTAATTATAATAAATTTCTTGCTTTTTGAAATTTATTATATATCGTAGGATGATAATGAAGTAAAACAATATATTTTATAAAAGTTAATATATATTTATATATTTTATTAAAATAAAATATTTATATATTTATGTATATATTTTTTGTAAATAGAAAGATTTTTTTGATAATTTTATTCCTAAACTCACAATTCATCAAAGACTTGAAATTATAAAACTTATAATGATTCCACTTTAAATTATATTAGGATTTATAAGTTAGGTGTTGGAAAAAAGTTAGGAATTAGAAATTGAAGAAAAAATGTAATTTATAAAAAATAATTAGTTTGGCTAAATTTAAAAAGCTATAGAAAAATAAAATACAAGTAAAAAAGAAAGCGAATTATCTGATTAAAAAGATAAAAAATAAAATATTTTTGATTTACATAAACAATTAATTAATGAAATATAAGCAATTGTATTGGGAAAAGCAGATAAAAATAAAAATAAGATAAATGCAGGATTGTTAATAAAATTTTTTTTTTTTATTTTAATTATTGGAGAAACTTTCTTTAATACAAAGTTTATATGAGATGTTTTTTAAGTAAAAATAAAATATAAATAGATAGAATTTTTTTTAAAAAAATATATTTATTTGGGTATTTTGATAATAAATAAAAATTTAAACATAAATTATTATTATATTTAATAATTTTTTGTATTTATTTGAAAAACATAATTAATTTAAATAAATATTTAGTAAATATGATTCTTATTTATAAAATAAATATAAACATCATTTTTAATTTTTTAAATCATTTTCTGTAAATTCTTAATGCAATGTTTATCTAACTTAATAGACATTCGGGTTTTCCTAAAATAAAACACTATAATTACTATTTTCATCATTTTTAAATTCTTAAGCAATTTCATCAGCTCTTTCTCGAAAACTGTCTGAGATTTTCATATAATAAAGGAAATCTTTATAAGTAAAAAAGGAGAAATCAAAAAATATAGTTGCTGAAATACAAATAATAATACTAAAATAGAAATAAGGGTAAACAATAATCCTTGAGAAAATATTATATAAATCATAAGATTCAAAGGTAAAATTAAGGAAAATAGCAAAACATAAATAAGAGACAAAACTCAAAATTTAAATGATATATCCAAAAACATAATTAGTATATGTATGTATCGTTACTTTCATATTTGCTATAATAATTGTTAATAAAAATATTGTTTAGCCAATAAAAACAATATCTGGTTTTCTTCCGTTTTTATCGAAACTACAATCTAAAGAATACATAGAAACAAAATATATTATACAGGAATGATAAAATCCTTAAAAAAACCAAATAAAAAACTCTTTTTTATTCATAAATATATTTTCAATGCCTGTTTGGTACAAATGGGGACTTTTAACGAGTATTTTAGAAGATAAATTTTAATCTGAGGCTGCATAGAAAATTATAGGAAAAGCAGTAAAACTAGCATTATAAAATTAAAATACGTAAATATCATATATATTAGAAGCAGAAAAACTAAGAAAAAAATATTTATATATATATATATATATATTAATATATATATATATATATATATATATTATTTATATATATATATATTTAACCCAGAATTAAATCCCAAAAATAACATAGGAGTCAAAGACATGACATTTTTATAAAAATTATAAAGAATAGTAATTGAGTTTCTCCTATAACATTCCCTTCCATGATATAAAAGTAATCTTTTTAGTAATTTAAATTCTCCTATAGCATAGTCACTTGACCTAGCCGCCTACATACCCTCTAAGCCCTTAATTCCTACACCTACATGTGCTTCAGTAATCATATTAACATCGTTAGCTCCATCTCCTATAGCTAGTGTTCTTTTTCCTTTACCTTATTTGGAATTTTTATATAAAGTTACTATATCTTTTTTCTATTTTGGGGAAACTCTACAGGCTATAACACTCCTGCATTAAGATCCAACAGAAATTAGAAGGTCTTCAAGTTTTTAATTACAGATTATAACAGAAAGCGATTCTCCTGTAATGACTAAGCAAAATTGCTTTTATTAGTACTTATTTTTGTTATTGTTTTGATTTTTGTTTGTTTCTATTCTTTATAAATGTTCGTTTAGTTTATCGCTTAACATTTATTCTTCGCTTATATCTATTTCTAATATTACATCGCTTTAATCTATTACTTTAGTTGATCGACCAATGTTTATGGCAGTTTCTTTCTTATCACCTGTCAATACCCAGAATAAGATTCCGGCTTTCTTCAATACATATATTGTATCTTCTACTTAATCCTAAAGCTTATCTTCTATAGCTGTAGCAGCCACTAATTCTAAGTCCTATTCCATTTTATCCATTAAATTTTTAAGTTTTTCTTCTCTATTATATAATGAAACTGATGCTTATTAATATTTAATATCCCATTTTTCATATTCGGATTATGTTAATTATTTCGAGGCCAAAACTAATGTCCTTAAGCCTGTAATAGCGTATTATTATAGTTAGTTTTCTAGTTATTCTATTTAAGTTTTTCCTTTTTCTGTTTAAGTGTAGATTTTTTAATTTAGTCGTTTTAAAATGATAGAATCTGCGCCTTTCGAAAGCAAAATTATTTAATTAGTCTATAGATCTTATATTATTACAGACATTCTTTTTCTCTCGCTTGTAAATTCGAAAAGATGAAGGAGTTTGTAATTTAAAATTTGTTCATTTTTTTAGTTATTATTTTTATCGAAATTTAAATCAAAGTACCTTTCTTAATGTTTTTTTATAGAAATTATATCTTAATTATCAATTCCTGTATATTCAAAACCTGAAAATTTAGCGAAATTTACAAGTGCGAGATCATCAGGGGAAGAAGCTTGATATTCAATTTATTTTTTTAAGGGATCATTACTTTCGTCTAATTATGTTTCAGAACAAATAACTGAATGACATAAAGATAAATGTTTTAAAGCGAAAAATACATCTTTTTGTTTTTCATTTTAGGGATTTTCTAAAATATCAAAAAAGCAAGAATCTTCAAAATTTACGTTTTCTATTATTCGGTTTTCGTTTTTTACATTTTTTGAGGAGTCTTATGAACTTCCATAACTAACTCCATTTAAATACAAATATTTGAAATTCATTATATTGCAAGTCAAAGTGCCTGTTTTATCTGAAAAAATGCACTGAATTTGGCCTAAATCTTCGTTTAAGTTTGAAGATTAGACAGTTGGGTAGAATCCGTTGGAGCTTTTCATGAGTTTTTCGCCTGAAATTAGCATTGCTTAAAAAAAACGAACCATTTCTAATGATATTAAAAGCGATATGGGTACAAAGTTTAACAAAAGAATCATCCAATTGCCAAAGTTTATTGTTAGATTTAAAAAAATGTTGTTTTCATAGCTATTTGAGGATATAGATAGATAATTAAGCTAATATTTTGAGGTTTAATAGAATACAAAATTGCCTAAAGAGGCTAAGGCACATAAAAAAATTTAAAAAAACCAGACTATTAAGATCAAATGGATTAATTAGTTTTCTACCCTACTATATTTTACATCTGGTGTGTAAGAATTTAGCATTATTTTAGTCTCATGACCTGTATATATAACTACTCCGTATATCCATTTAGTATTCCTTAATATACAACCTCTTAATAATAGATTTTTTTCGTCCAAACTTATACATTACTAGATTTTTTAATCATCTCGTATTAATTCTAGGTTTCCAGAAAATTTATATAATAAAGGATTAGGTCCTTCATAATTTATTAGGATTTTTTTTTAAAATACTTATTCTTAATTTTAATAACTATTAATAAATTAATATAAATATTTATATAAATATATATATATATATAAATATAAATATACATTTTTTGTTGTATTTATTTTTATATATATTTTGGTTTTAAATTAGTTTCTCCATCTAAATTTTTAGTTTCCACAAAACAGCCTCCTTTTTAATCTGAAGTTAAGATAATTACTAAATCAGCCGGAATTGGCTAATTTTATTTAATTTTAACAATATTACCTGCATACAATTTCTCACTAGAAATCTCTTCTAAATTCATTCTTTAATAATTTACTTTTTAACATTTTTATTAATTTTCTAAATTATCCTATTTATGTCTTTTTAAATCTTCGCAAATATCTTTTAAAGCAGCTACAATAATAACAAAAGCTAAAGGAAGATAAACTGTAGGAACTTGATAAGTATTTGAGATTTGGGGAATTAATTATAGCATACCCATTAATAAGAAGTATATATTCGAAATTTTAGAAAATTATTGAAACATATTTAAGGGTAAAAAAGTTACAATATTATATCTACTGGTTTTGATTTGATTATTTTTGTATTAAGTATTATCTTCTAATATTTTTAATTATCTTTACTATTATTTTTCTTCCCAATTTACGTCCAATTTTTACTAAAGCTTACATAATATGGTTTAATATAGCGATTTACTACGAAAAGCTTAAGATTTTCGTTAAATAATTGCCTATTGGAATTATTTATCGAGTTTTTCGCCTGCAGGAGTTTATTCAGAGTCATTATATATGTATTAATTGTAGTCTAAAATTTCGATTTGGTCTTTGCTTTCTTAGAAGTTAACTGTATCTTTATTTAATGAAGCATGACTTGGACTTATTTAATTACCTGAGCTTATTTCTAATAAAACTTTATTTAGATCTTGCGATTAATTATTATTATCTTATTGGTTCATACCTTTTTATAAAAAAATATAAATTTTTATTTTTATAAAGTATATTTAGTCTATAATTTATTTTTTTGAAAAAATATATAAATTAGATATATTTTCTATATTTATTTAAATATTTTAAATTCATTTATAAAATAATATATATAAATATTATATTTATATATAATAATTATTAATTTTAAATTTTATTTTTATTTTTAAGTTTAATTATATTATCGATATTATTTTATATTAGTTTTCAAATAAAATTAATATATAATTTCTATTATTTTAGATAATTTTGATGTTTTTTTTTTATTTATTTATTCTTATATCTTATTATTTAATTTTTTTAGATTTATATTATTCACATAATAAAATTTTATTTTTTTTAATTTAATATTTTATATTCATTTTATTCATAAAATAAATATTTTATTTGTTATATATATTTTTTTTAATTATAAGATTTTATACTTATATTAAAAAAAAATATTACGAAATTTCAGTTAAAAAAAAGGAAATTATATAAAAAAAATATTTAGTAAAAATTAAATTTTTTTTTGCTAAAATTAAAAAAAAACGATAAAAAAAAATTAAAAAATAATGTTATCCTAAATGTCAATTATAAAAGAAAGCCCAAAGGCAAACAATCTCCAATATTACTAAAATAAAAATTATTGTATTTGTGGTAAAATAATAATGTAGAAACCTGTAACTCTCGAATGTGGGCATTAATATCATTTTAAATGTGCCAGAGAATATATTTTTAATGATTTAGAAGAAGATTAAGACACTCCGAAATGTTTAATTTGTGAAAATCAAGAATACTAATAATAATAAATTTCCTAAGAAAAAAATACACTAACTACTTAAAATCTTTCTAATAGTATTCAGTATTAAACTCCAGAAATTCAGTAGGAAAATGTAAATATGAAGGACTAAAAAAGGATAATCACATCAACTTTTTTCAATGCAAATTTTCAATAAAAAAGAACTCCATTGGCGGAAATTAATCCTTATATAGCGGATTAGTAACAGCAGAAGAATTACCTTTTAAACATCACAAATAATATTTTGCAAAAAAGTTTCGAAGAAACGAAAGATTGGGGAAATCTTTTACAAAATATATCTTCTTACAGCCAAAATACATCGTTTAGTAGAGAAAATAATAATAATACATATTAACTTTCTTCGAAGGAAAATGCTTCCTTTTTAAATGAATTGAGAAGAAGAATGATGAATTAAAAGATTGAAATTTCATTCAATAGTTCTATGTATTCTATAGGAAGTGATAAGGAGAATGCGAGAAATTTAATTAAAAAAAGGATAAAAAATAATGACGAAATATCAGTTTCTTTTAAAGAAGGAATGTCTTTTATGTGTATTTAAAACCTTTTTTGTTAAAATAGTGATTTTTTGAAACTTCCTGTAGAAATAGAAATAGAAAATTAGATGAAACTGAGAAATTCTTAAGATATTTTTTTACTTTTTGATTAGAGTATATTTGTTTCTTAAAAGGAAAGATATGATTACTTGATTAGTTTTTATAATTAATTGGATAATTTCGATACACTGGCAGTTGGGTGGATTGAAAACGGAATTATTAGAAGAAATATTTCAAAAGGGTTTTTCTATAAAGATTTTGGGGAAGTCGTCGCAAAGGAATTTTCCAGATTATAATGTTATAAAGAAGAAACTGTGTTTAAAATAGAATAATTGGATATATACTTGGGTAGTTAATATAGGGATTTGTAAAAAAAAAACATACTTTAACATTTTATTTATGTTAGTATGAATGAAAGTGTTGGTTTTTCTATTGATGGGTTGAAAATTTAAAGTAGTTCTTTTTATTTTAGTAAAGTTAATTTTTCTTGTAATGAAAAAAATTAAAAAATTCCTTTTTGGGTTAATTAGACAAGGTTAGTAGTAGATTAGAGTAGAGAAATTAATATGAAAAACATAAATTTAGTTATTTAAATTAATAATTCTATTGAAAATTTGATAGATATAGAAATAATTGGATGCACGAACAAATCACATGAAGCCATTGTAGCTTAGAATAAGCTAATTTCTATATATTTAAATTATTTAAGTAATTAGAAAATTTCTATCTATTTATAAGCATTGTTTATAAATAATCCTCCAAAATTTTTTTTAAAATAAACACTTTTTAACTGCTCGCTTAGTTACACTTTAGTTTACTAAGAAAATACTTAAGAAGATATACTTAGTTCTGAATATTATATTAGCAATATCAAGAATGTTTCGTTCGAATTTGAATGGAAAAAAAATAATAGTCATTTGTTTTACGATAGAAAAGTTATGAGTTCTTTCTGGAAATAAGAAATTAAAAATGAAAAGTTGAATTAATAGTATCTTTTTGATAAATATAATTAAATTTTCAAGTAAATTTAACAAATTAAAGGATCTGATTTTGAAGAATATTATGAATTCTAAAAATATTATAAATAAATTTGAATATATAATATAATTATTATTAAATTTTTAAAATTTTATAATTAAATATTAATAAAATCATCAATAATTTTTTTCTTATATATATATATATATATATATATATATATTATTTTTTTGTTTTGCTTATAATTAGATATTAGATATAAATGTTAGATAACTAAAATTTAATTGTAGAAGATTAAACTTCTAATATATTATTCTATTATCCATAAGACAAAATTAATCAAAAAGCTATTAAATTTACAAAAAAGTATTAATTCATATCTTAAATAGGAAAAGGAGCTTTTGGAAATGTAATTAAAGTATAAAGCAAAATAAATAAATTAGAATATGCAGCAAAAGTAAAAAACAAAAATAACAAATATAATAATATAATAACAGGTTATAAATAAAAAAATATTAAATTCTGAATAAAGGGATTTAATAAGATAAGAATATTATATTCTTTCATAATTAAATCATCAAAATATCATAAAGTTACACGAAGTAATAGAATATGGCTCATAGATATATATAATAACAGATCTTATTAAAGGTGGTACGTTAAGTTAATTATTTTAAATAAGAAAATAAAATAATTAATGGTTTAATGATAAAGAAATACATTAAATAATTACTTCAATTTTAAATGCTATATGTTATATACATTCTAAAAATATAATACATAGAGATTTGAAACCATAAAATATACTGATAGATGATTTAAATGACCTTTCTTCGATAAAGATTGCAGATTTCGGACTTAGTATTTTATATAAATCTAATTCTGGTATTTTATTTTAAACTCTATGTGGTACTCCTTTATATATGGCTCCTGAGTTCTTTGTTAATGGTACTTATTCAAAGGTTTTTTATTTTTAACTAAATTTATATACGTAAATTTTAATTTGTTTGAAATAAATACTTTTTTATATTTGGAATATCAAATAAAAACTTTAGAAATCTAATTTTTTATAAATTATATTTTCTATTACTAAAAAAAAAAAAAAAAAAAAAAAAAAATTGATTTCTTTTTTTTTTATAATTTGTATATATAAAGCCTATAGATATTTGGAGTGCAGCTATTATATTTTTCGAATTAGTAAATGAAGGAATTCACCCATTTTATAATGAAGAAGTTGATACTGTATAAACTCTAAAATAAAAAATTATAAATTATTAAATAATATAAAATAATAAAATGAATGATATTTAAAAAAACCTTTTCAAAAAAATGGCTTCTATAAATACTTATGATAGATATAATATAAATCAAGCTCTTTAACATCCCTATATTACTTAAAATGTGAATGGAAACATTCCGATGTCATTAAATGAATAATTAAAATCAATTAATATTTAAGTTAAAATTAAAAACGTTTTAATGGCATTTCTTTTTATGTAATTTTCTTTAAAATAAGGAACTACTTAGAATGTTATTTTTAGGTCAAACAAATTTAAAAAAAATTCGAATATTTAACCGAAAATCGCTTTGATAAATTTAAATGTTTCACCAAATGAATCTTTTGTTAATTCTTTAGTTGATAGTTAAAAAGATGAAAAAAAATTTAATTTTAAATATTATATTAATAATTGTAATGTTTAAGATGGAGAAAAATCGAATAAATATATACAAAAAAAAAATATGAATAATAAAAATATTGTGTACTTTTTTTTTTTTTTAATTAAATTTATTTATTTTATAGAAATGGAATCTTTAAAAGCGATATTGGATAAAAATTTAGCTTTTATAATAAATACTAATTAAAAAAAGAAAATAAAGAATTGTAATAATAAAACAAATAATATAATTTTTAAATAGTTTCTTAATAAAAATAAGACAATAATTAATATATTTATAAAGATATTCCTCGAAGTATTTCTCCTTTAAAAAAAAGTATTCTAGATTCTAATTAATATATATAAAAATTTAAAACTAAAATAGTAAATAGTAAACTTTAAAATTAGTTAAAAAATAATGATAAACATTCTTAAAATAATTTTAAACTTTCAAATCTGAAATTATTACTTTAGCAATAAAATTTATAATAATAATCATCATTAAGTCCATTGAAATTATGTAATAGCAATTCCAATAGTAATAAAAATTCATTAATTTTACAAATAATAAATTAGCGAAAAATTACTAGTTTAATTAAAATTGAATAAGTAAACTAGGATAAATAAGTAAAATCTTAAAGAAATAAAGATTTTAATATCAGTATTTTTAAATATTTAATATAATATTTATTTATTTATGATAAAAAAAAAGGGAAAGGAAAATTGTAAAGTTCATCACTTCACGAAAATAAAAATAAAAGTTAAAAAAAAAATTGAAAAAAGGTCTTAAAAAAATATTCAAAAATTAGGAAATTAATGAAATATATAGACAATATAATTTATATATAATTATTTATTTATTTTCTTTAAAAAAAAAAAAAAACAATAAAAATTTCATTTTTGTTTCTTTTTTTTTAAACCTAAACTAATTTAAAATTTACTTTTTCATTTTTTTTATTCTTGACTTATTTTTGTATGTAACTTTTATTAGTCAGGTAATGAAAATAAAACTTTTAATTCATCAACTATTTTTATAAATAAATATTAGTTTTAATAATTATATTACTTGAATTAATTTATTCTTATTATCTATCTTTATAATTAATAGGCATATTATCGTTTTCTTTATAAATTAAATTCTCTTTGTTTTCTATTTTAATTATAATTTATTCGGTTTCAAAAAAGCTTTATAATTAGCTGCTTTTTCCTATCTCTGTTAATTCAATTTCCCATTTATTTTCTTTTTTTATAGGTTTTTTTTTATTAATTTTCTTAATTTTTATTCAACTTTTTATTTTCCGAAAAATTAATTTAACAAAATTGCACATTAATCAAATACAAAAATCGAGCAAACAATAATGAAAATCACTAAATAAAAATGAGGAGTTTATACTAAATCTATAGGAATTGCAAATTAATATGAAATTTCCAAAACCTCACTAAGGAACATAAATGCTAAATATGTACCTAAACTTGCGAAAAAAAATGCAATATAACTAATTGAAGTCCAATATTTCGTATGAATTCCTAATTTTATATCAGCAGTCTTTTTATTTTTTATTTTTATTAATGATATATTTTTTTCTTACTAAAACAGTTGCAGTAAACATTATTAAAGAAAAAGACCATTAAGATGAATTTTATCCTTTTTTTAATATTTCACTACTAACACTCCAAAAAGAGATATAATAGATAATAGCTCCATGCATTATTCCTTCAATAACCCAAAAGGTAAAAATAGAATTAGTAAAAAGCATATTTTTTTATCCTAAATAATATAAATTAGGCATTTAATTCTTAATATAATGTTTTCTTTTTTTAATTAAATTATTTACTTACATTATATCTGTTTCATTTAAATTATAAAACTTATCTACGTTATAATATTAATAATTCACATCTTAATCTAAGATTGCCCTTACAATTAGGGGAAGGGCTGTAAATATTAGATTATATAAAGAAATATTCCAATCATCAAAAACAGTTTAAGAACTAAATCCTGAATAAAATGCATTATAAAATTAAGGTATTGTAAATATCCTTTAATATTTTTATATATTTATTCAATTATTTAAATATACATATTTTTATAAAAAAAATAAATAATCATATCAGAAATTCTTATATATGACCATCTCCCATGTATTAAAAGTAATCTCCATAAGCATTTGAATTGTCCAAAAGCGAAATCACTACTTTAAACTGCCCTCATTCCTTCATTTCCATATATTCCACACCCTTTTAAATTTTTATTTTTATTTTTGATAATGGAATATATAAATTAATTTTTTTTAATATTTATTTTTATTCGAAAATAATTTCAAAAAAAAAAAAACCTATATGAGCTTCTTATATCATATTTACATCATTTGCTCCATCTCCAATGGCTAAAGTTATTTTGTTTAAAGCTTCTTTAATTGTTCGAACGACTTAAGCTTTTTAAATTGGAGAAACTCTACAACAGACAACACTTTCACAACTTTTTGAAATTTCTACAAACTTTTATTTTAATAATTAATTTTTCGGATCCATAATTACAGCTAGAGAACTTCCTTCAATTAGAAAACACTTTCTAATTTTATTTTCTACACAATATTTAAATCTCTTATCTATTACTTAATTTAGTTCCCTTTTTATAATTTATTCATCAGATGTATTTAATGTAAATATCTCAAAATCATTCAGAATTAATTTACAACTTTTTGCTATATTTTCAGCTGTTTCTAATTTATCGCCAGTTAACATCCAAATTTTAATATCTATATTTATTTATTTTTTTAAAAGAAAAGATTAAAAATATATTTTATAAAATAAAATTTATTACTAGCCCTTATTAAATCATTTATTGTTTCAGGTACACCATCTTAAAGCTTATCTTCTACAGCAGTAGCTCCTATTAAAAAAAAATCTTTTTCATATTATTATGCTAGCTTCGCTTTATTTTTATTTTAAATTATTTAAATGTGATATAATATATATTATAAAAAAACCTATCTCTTCATCTCTATTTTAAGCTTCGGAAAGTTTCGTATATTGCTTTTTGAATTCTTCGACTTCATTTTTGGACATGATTTTCATTCCTACAAGAAGTGTCCTTAATCCTAAAATTGAAAACTAATTTAATTATTCATTAGCATATTATAAAAAAGGCTATTTAATATTTTTATTTAACTTATCTTTTATAATATTATCAGCCCCTTTAATGTACATTTTATAAATTCCTTCATCCTAAATTATTATAGTCATACATTTCCTTTCACTAGAAAACTCAAAAATATTAATTTTTAAAATTTCAGTGTCTTTACCTAATATTTTCATTTATATACTTTAATTTGTCTAACCTTTAAAAACAAAGCCTAAATTATATGCTGCATCTACTAATGTAACCTCGTCTGGAGAAGGGCCTTAATAATATATATTCGTGTCTGTAGGATCTTTATTTTTGCTAACTATACATTCATGAGCAACTCCTAATAATTTAAAATATTCTTTTGTTAATTATAATTAATCCTTTATACAATATTAAGCTTATTCTATTTTACAATTATTTAATTTTTTTTTTTAATTCTTTTTTAAATTTTATTACTATCAGTTGAATTTAGTATAATGTTTAAAGATATGTTCTATTCTTTTGAAGAAGACTTTAAAAGATAGTCTAAATTTTAATCTTCAAATATAAATTCAGTTAATTAATGGCGTTTATTAGTTGGTAAAGGTGACTTTTGTTTAATATTTTTTTAACTATTTTTTCCATATAACATATTCCCAACAACCGCAATTTTAAACTACATTTAGTTTTATGTTAAAGTACCTGTTTTATCAGAAAAAATATACTCAACTTGGCCTAATTCTTCATTTATTGTGCATGTTAAAACTCTAGGCCATCTATTATTAATTGCACTAAACATTTCTTAAAAAAAAAAAATATGTACTTAAATAAATTTAAATTTACCTTAATCTTTCATAATAAAATAAGATTAAGCAACTTTAACTATTTCTAAAGAAATGACTAAAGAAATTGGAATCATTGTATTAAATAAAATAAAGAATGAAAAGAAAACAGCGACAGATTAAACAATATTACTCATACCATTTTAATTTAAATATAGATATGGATAAATATGACTATTTTGGTTCATCCAATTATATTAGCAAGCACTCATAACGAAAGAACATATAAATTAAAAGCATAGTATGCATAAAATAAATTGGTTCATTTTTTTCTCCATATCGCTAGTTTTTTATTTTGAACTTTCGGAATTAAGCATTATTTTGGTATCCATTCCTGTATATACAACTACTCCATATACATATTCAGTATTTCTTAAAAAAGCTCCTCTTGGGAGCAATTACTTTATATTAAAAGGTATTTATTCTTTATTTACATTAAAATTATCATTGAAAACGATACTTCCTTCGAACCTATTTGGATCTTAATCAGGTTTTCGTGTATAAAGTTCAAGTTAAAAATTTTAATCTTTATTTATAAACCCATTTGTATTAATTTCACAAAAAAAACTTGAAGTTTATGCTAAAGCAGAACGCGTCTTTAAATTTTTTTCACCGTCCAAAGCACCCGTTTCTATATAACAAATTCCTTCCAAACTGCTACCCAAAACAAGCAAATCGGCTGGGAAAACTTGATCTTATTCAATTTAGATAATATCTCCTACACATATATCCGCAAAAGGAATTTACATTTATTTCCTATTTTAATTTATTAAAGTAGTATATTATTAATAATTTTATTCATTATCACTTACATGCCTATAGTAATCTTCTATACCTTCCCGAATCATCGAGATGCTCAAAACTATAACTAATGGAAATACGGCTACTGTAGGACTTAATGGAGATATTATTGATATACATTATAGAACGGATATTACTAAGAAGTATATATTTGCATATCTGTTAAATTGAAGGAGAAGGGAAAATGGGAAAAAATTTATTAGGGTGTATCGCGAAGTCTTTATTATGTTTGACATGAATATACTCTCATTTTGTAATTAAGATTAATTTATTGTATTAAAAGCAATTATATGTCGATCTTTATCTTATCTTATTGATTTTCTCTTAAAGAATTTCATGATTTTATTTTAATAGTGTTTTATATAATTTATTGTAATAGATATTATATTTTTTAATTGTTTTGGTTTATTTAATAATTTTTTTATATCTTATATTATTTCTTATAACTATTTTATGTTTTTTATTTTTTTAAATTCGAAAATTCAATTGATAAATTGTTTGAATTAAAAATTTATTGATATATTTATTCGAAAATAATTATTTAAAGTTGATTTAATTAATAAATAATTAAGAATATTTTAAAGATTATTGTAAAACTAAGAGAGAGAGAGAAAATAAAAAAAAATTATAATTAATTATTTTTAGAAAAAAAAAAATATTATCTAATTTAATATTATTTTTTTAAAAATAATTAATATTTAGTTTTTAAATAATTAATGTAATATTTTTAATTTTATAATTTATTATTTATTAAAAAAAATATTTATTTTCATTATAATTTAATCAGATATGAGTAAATTTATATTTAAAATTAAAATTTTAGAATAGAATTAAAATAAAAATATATATAAATATATTTTAGATTAAATTATTTATTATCGAATATAAATTTTTAGATTATGAATAATTTTAAATTTATAACTTTCTTATAAAATAAAATTTCTTTTATTATTAATTTTATAAATAAATATATATTTTTTCTTAAACAATTATATAAATATTGATATATATATATATATATATATATAAAATTAAAATATGAAAATATAAAGATATTTATATAATATATTATAATTATTTTATCTTTCGTATAGTATATTTAGATTTTAAAATATTTTATTTTTGATTTAATTATTTAATTTCTATCTTTAATTTTCTTTTAATTTTAGAAAATATATAAATCAAAATATTTTAATTAAAAATTGGTATAATTTAAATAAAAATGAAACTTTATTATTTTTTTCTTTTTCTAACTTTAAAATTCATATCACATTTGTATAATTTCTTTATATAAAATTATCTCATAATATAGAATTTATCAAAAATCTTCTATTGGGTTAATTAATGATAATTGCTAGTTATTTTAATATCTCATTGAAACTTATTTAAATATTGATCAGATTTTCGTATACAAATTTAAAACGCAAATTTTTAATCTTATTAATAAACTTCTAAGGATTAGTGAAAATATGATTTTTATATAGTTTGATGAAGATATATTTTATTTTATAAATTAGGTTGCTTTTTTTGATTAAATAAGATTAGAATCTCGTATTATAGATACATTAATTATTTTCACTTGAAAATTTTGATGATCATCATTATTCTTTATTTTTATTTGTTTAAAATAATTATTTAAATTATTATCAGAGTTTCCTTTTTTTATTTAATTTTAAAATAAATTTTTATATATTTATTAATTAGAAATTAATATTTTTGGCAAAATACTTTAAAATATTAATCTTTTAAAAAAAAATAAGTTATAATTAAATACATAATATATTAATATTTTTATAAAATATTTTGAAATAATATTTATAAAATATTTCTGTTTTAAAATAGGTTGTTTTAAACTTTTATTTTTTAAGTAAAAAATAAATGAAAAATTATTTTATATAGAAATGTATTTTTTTTTAATTCAATTGTAAAATAAATTTTATAATTTAAAGAAATAAAAAATTTCAAAATTAATAAATGTCTAATAAAATAATATTTAATATCTTTATTATATTGATAAATATTAACATTATATTTTTATAAATATAAGATTTTTAAATTTAGATATAAATAAAAATTTAAAGCATTTAAAATATTTATTTTTAATCATTATAAGTATAATAAGCATTTAATTTTTTTATTTTTTTTTATTAATTCTATCATTTTTATTTTTAATTATCTTTTAAAAATAATTTTTATATTAAAAATAAAATTTTATATTAAAAATTTACTTTTTATTTAATCATTTATTTATCTTTAATTTTGAATTTCTTTTTATAGTTTTAATTTTTTTTCATCGTAATATTATATTTCTTTTTCTATTTAATTTAAGCTATTTTCTTTTTTTTTTCTTTAAACATTCATAAGTTTTATTTTATCATCAATTATATCTTTTTGTTCCCTTCTTAAATGATTGATTTCGAAAATAAGAAAAGTATTATGTTTCATTATAATTTCAGTATCCTATATAAAAATAGAATTATGTTTATAAATTTAAATAAAATTATATATTTACAGATTTATGGACTTATTGATTTTTATCATGTTTTAATTTTAAATTTGTAACAGAAGTTTCTAAATGTGATCTTTCTTTCATTATTTCTCTTTAAAAGTCATTATTTTCAGATTTTTTAAATTTAAAATCATCATTTTATACATATTAATTCAAAAGACTAACAATACTTTATTTTAATTTTTTTTAATCCTAAAATAAAAAAAAATAATTAACAAAAAAATAAATAAATAAATAAAACATTAATATTCGAATAACAACTGGACATATCCTATTCAAAAGCATTTATGTATTATTAATAACTATTAATTTATTAATTTTATTTTTCTAATTCTTTTTTCATTCCTTTTTATCTTAATTTCAAATCACTTACAATTAGTACTATATATATTTTTAAAAAAATATATAAAAATAAAAAAATGTACACAAATTATTATTAGTTCTATTAAAATGTAAAATTTCTGAATTCATATTCGCTATCTATTCTTTCATTTTAGCAATTTCTTCTTCTTTAGGTCCTTTATCTCTTTTTAATTCTTTAATTTTATAATCAAGTACAAACTTAAACTTTTCCAACTCTTAAGTTTTTTTTTTTAATTCATATATTCTTCTTCCTTTATCTTTAATAGCTTTTTCTCTTTCATCAATTTCCTTTGTATGAGTTTCCTTTTCCTTTTAGAGCATTTTATTAGTTTCTTAAATAGATGTGATTTCTTCCATAGTTCCTTTTAGTTTGCTTTTTTGATCTTCCAATTTTTAAGACTCAGTATCATAATCATTTCTTTTTTCCATTTTTTTAATTTCACTTTTTTCTAGTGTATTAAATAATTCTTACATTCTCGTTTCGTTTAATTCTTTGAGTTTATCGATTTAGTTTTCAGCGCTTAACTCTAATTAATTCAAAGTTTTTTCAAATTCGATTTTCAGTTATTCACTTTTGGCGTGTAAATCAGCATATTATTGTTTTTCATCAGCTAATTATTATTCGTACATAGCCGTTTTTTTGGCCATTTCTCTTTTATGATCATTTTCTATGGAATGAATGTCTTGTTTAAAATTTCTTTCTTCTTTTTCTTTTTCCCTTTATAATTCTTCATTTCTTTACATTTCTAAAGCAATTTTTTTTTTACATTCATTTTCAATGGTTTTTTTATTTTATTGATGCAAATTTTTCAACATTTATTTTTATTTTTCATAATTTTCATTCATTTCTTCAATTTCAGATTGCTGCTTTTTTATTTCTTACAGATCCCTTTCTTAGTTTTAATTTTTCACCTATTCCAATTCTAAAATTTTCATATCTAAAATCTTCAAACTTTCTTTAATTTATAAATCCTGTCTTTATTTTTCCTCATTCAATTGTTTCTTCAATCTCTCAATTTCATTTTTTTAATTATTATATTATTCCCTTTATATAAGAAATTCTTCCGTAAACTAAGTCTCAATTATATTATCTTTATCCATTTTTACTTTGAATTCCTTATCTTCGTTCTTATATATAATTAAAGCTCCGTCTTCACTAGCCGTAAACACATAATTATCATCAAAAGAGACTCTTAATCTTGTTATAGAGGATACATGGGACTATAATTCCAATATTTCATTTGTAAAAGGATACTTCATGACCCTTATAGCACCTGGTTTTCCTTTATCCTCTGTGGTAAAGAAAAATAGTTTATTACAATGTGCGAGTGCTACTTAAGAAATATCACTTCCTGTAAATATTTTTTAAGTACCAGCTACTATGAACTTTTTTTTTAAATTTCCATCACTTAGTTCTCTATTTTCTTTTTCTAATTTACTATGTATAGTAATTTTATATACGCATTTTTCACTATTCTAAATTTACTATAATTATTACTAATTTCCATATATATTATCTTCCAAATTATTTTCATCGGAATAAACTCCTGAAACAAAAATAATCCTTTCAACATGCTAAAGGTTGTTTTCAGTACTCTAATGTCCCGTAATACACGTAATATTCATACCTGGAAAAGTCGCAATTTGAGTCTTTTGTGGCCCTGCATCATCTACTCTCCAATAGTATATTATTCCATCTGTATTTCCAGTAAAAAATCCCTAATCGTCTTATTCCCAGAAAATACTTTTAACCTTTCCAGAACCTCTGAAGGCTAAATGGGAAGCCATTTCTCCTGTATAAAAGTCAAATACTTAAACTGTTGTAATATTTGTGATTGCGAATAAATGTCCACCATTTGAAAATTGGATTTCTCGGCAGTTTTTAACAGTAAGCTCTTTAAATGAGATAAGATCGTTTTCAAAAATATTCAAGAATTTTATTCGGTCAGCAAAACCGACTATTATGTGAAAACCGGAAGGATGAATAGCAACTGAATAAGCTTCTTCATCAAAAAGTTTAGAATTTTCTAATGTATTATCTATATAATTCCATATTTTTACATATCTATCAAAACTACATGTAACTACTAATGCTTTTCTAATACAAACATCTAAACCTGTAATCTTTTTTTAATAAAAATATAAAATATCAAAAATATAATATCTTTTTACTTTTTATGAATGATAAGACATATACAAAGGCTCACATTTCGAATTTTCCTCACTTATAGTTTAATTTTCTGGAGAAAAAAGTATTTATAATAATTATCCGCCTTCAATTCCTACAATGAGTTTTTCTTCCCCATTAGTGACTAATAGGGAAGTAATTTTAGTTTTGAATTCTTTAAGTTGGATTTTCTTATCGGCTCTAATATATGGATTTTTTAGATCATTATCACATTTCTCGTACATTAGAATAGTACAATCTGAACCTGCTACTATAAATCCTTTAGAGTAGGTTTATATACATTCGATTGACATTTGTTCGTTTTTTGGAGAAGTTGGAAGTATAGTTTTAAATTCGAATGAAGATTAAAAAAATAGCAACTCACCTTAATCTGTTCCTATGATCATATTTTAGTCTGGGAGAAGGCAATAAGAAGTATAATTAGTCGAATGATGTAGATCTTTACTATCTTTTTTAATAAAAGGGCTATCTTTTTATTTTAATTGGCCATCAGAGCCTAGTTTATACGATTTTATGGCTGCGTGGCCTACTAAGCCTATAAAATCGTCCTCTTTAGGGTGAAAAAAGCAGAAGGAATATCTCATATTCTCCACTATCTTAAGACTTACTGAAGAAATCACTTTTTATTTATCCCATTGGAAATAAATTAATTACCAATCAGGTTAACCACTTAATGCAATTAATAATTTCTCATCAGTTTTGTGAAAATCGAGACATACATAAGCCCTTGCTTTACAATCTTGAGATGTTATGGTTTTCCTTTTTTCCGGTTTGGTCATATCTTAGATTATTATTATCCCACTTTCATATTCTTCCGCCCAGGCAATATATTTTTTGGAAACACTCTAAGCCATACACGTGATTCCGGATGTACCACTATATGTGTGATAAAATTATTGCTTGTTTTCAGAATTATTTACGATAACTGAATTACTTGCAGGATATACTACTCTTTGTTCAGAAAGTTAAAATATGTTGTTTTTAAAATCACTGCGGTATCCGTGTATGTATTTTACACCGAATGGAAGTTGCAGTTTTGTAGGGAGTTGACTTTCTTCTTGTTAGTTTTATAATTATAACATAATGCTAATTATTATTTTTTAAATGGGATTTATATTTAGATTTAGTTTTTTATTTATTTATTTTTTTTTGATAATTTTTTAGTTTTTAAATATTTTTTTAATTAATTTATAATTTTTTTTAAAAAATGTTATATTTTTTTGGATTAAATAATTAAATAGAAACATTTTTTTTTTATTGAAATAATTCTAATATTAATTGAAAAAAAAAAAATTAATTAAGAATATTATAAAAAAAATTACATATTTTTTGTTTTTTTATTATAAAAAAATATTTGAATAGATAAAGATTATTTTGATTTTACATAATTAATATACTAAATTTAATTTTATTATAAATTAAAATCTTTATAAAAGTCTATTTATTTTATATATTTTCCAAAATAATATAAATTAATTTGTGGCTTAAATAAGATAAATACTAATAATTAAATATAAAAATTATATAAATTTAAACAAAATAATAAAATAAAAGTAAAACTAATATAACCCATAAAAATAATATTTTAATAAAACACAATAAACATTTTTTTGAAAAGTAACACCTATAGTTCAAATTAAATATTATAAATAGTAATTTTTATTTTAAAAAAGATAGCATTAATAGAAATATTAAAGAAAATATATTTTGTAGGGGTTGTTTATTATAATAAAATTTTAATAGTATTTATTGAAATTTAGCAAAAAATACATATTTTACTTTCATAAATAATTGGGTTTGAAAAACTTAAAAAAAAGGGATATTGTTTATGTTAAAAAAATAAAAGACTATTATTATTAAATTTTAAGCTGAAAAGTGTCTCTATTGGTGAAAAAGCGTTTTGGATAATCAAAGATGCTATTACAAGATAATAATATTAAAGTAGTGCTATAAAATAAACTTTAAAAGACATCTATTGAAGGAATACATATATAAGTTATGTAAACATTAATAGTTCTTTTAATCAGATCAATATAATTAAAATATATCAAAATTTATACAATAAAAAATAAATTTTAAATAATATAGTTAAATAAAAAAAAAAAAAATTAATACAAATTTGAAAAATTTGAAAAATTTAATAGTTAAATAAAATACTAATTTCGTTACAAGAAAAGCGAAAAATATATAAATAATAAAAAATAGATAGAGTAAACTATTATATAAGTAAAATAATTATAAAAAAAAATAAAAATTAACATTCAAATAAAAAATAGAAGAAAAAAATAATTAAAATAAAATAATAATATTAAAAATATTAAATATTATTAATAAAAATATAATAGGTTCTTAAATTAATACTTTTTTTGGAACATAAACTAATCCATAAAATAAAATAAAGTTAAATTATAAAATAATACTAATAAATATTATATATTTATAAAAAATTTAATAATAATTATTAATTTAAGGATAAAAGAATTGATATAATTAATATAATATATTAAAAATAATAATAATAAAAATAATAATAATAATAATAATAATAATAATAATAATAATAATAATAATAATAATCATATTAATAATAAGTTATTTCTAAAAAAATTTAGAAAAAGATTAAATATATTATCAATATTTTTTTAAATTAATTATATATAACATTTTTAAAATTTTAAAGATATTTTAATTATTCTAAATAATTTATTTAAAATTTAAAAATAAAATTTCTTTAAAACATTTTTTTATAATTAAATTTTTTAAATAATAATTTATTATTTTTTCTTTATACTATAAGAATTTAATTTTCTATAAATATTTAATAATTATAATTATTTTTATATAATGGTAATATGAGAATTTAAATAAATTTACAAATATAACCAATATATTTTTTTATATTAATATTTTATATATTTAATTTTAATTTATATATTTTTTTTTCTTTTTTTTAAAACGTGCTAAAAATTAAAAAAAAAGATATAAAATATATATTTTTAAAAAAATTATGTATAAGTACTTATACAAAAATAAAAAATAATCTTAATTAAAAAAAAAAAAATTTAAAAAAATTAAAATTAATTAAATGAACATAAAATTATTAACTATTCTCTTTTCAATAATATCTTTATGCATTTGTTAATCAACAATTGTTGAAAAAAACAAAGCTCATGAACGTATAAAGCATTAATTTAATGAAATCTAAAGTTCCGTTTAAGAAATTTTATGGTGTGGTGCCGCATCTGCCATTTCTGAAGATGGTGACGTAATGACATACAATCAAATTGTTAGAAATCGCAAAATGTACATCCTAACTGATAATGGTAATCTATATTTTTCAAAAGATTATGGTCAAACTTTAAAATCTATAAACGAAATTTTACTCAAATAAACAAGCACGTAAGGCAATCTTATAATAAAAGATATTTTAATAAGCCCTATCTTAAATACTAAGGTCTATATTATAGGATAGTCCGGAATTAGTTTTTATACCGAAGATTGTGGCAAAACATACACTAAGATAACACATGAGCCTTTGTTGTAAAATTTCTAGCCTCATATGTAAAACTAAGATTATTTAATAGCTTTGTTGCCTACTAATTGTAGCGAAAATGATCCTTTATGTTTATCGTTTACCTATTAGTTATATTTATCACAAAACAGCGGTGCTGAATGGAGAAAAATACTTGATAATGTTACGCAAGCTTAATGGGATAAAATAAAAGCGACTATTTTTAATAATGAGTATAGAATTATTGTTAGTTAAGCATAATATTAAGGAGAAATAAAAAGTAAAAAATAAAAATAAAAATATTTTTTTATAAAAAAAATATAAATATAGAAAGACAAATCATTTATAGTGATGATTTCTTTAATAGTTCATATATAGTATAAGAAAATGGTACAAGATATTATCAAAGTGAAGATTACATATTTATTTTGACTTAACAGAGCACTAAATTTAAATTAATAATAGGCCCTTCTTTAGTAAATTAAAAGCAAAGCAAATCTGAAATTGATTTGCCCATAAAAAGAGTAAAAGATGAATCTTTTACTATTTTGGATATTGTTAATGGAGAAATAATTATTTCAATTAACCATGAAGGGGATGAAAAAGGATATACAAATATTTATGTATCCAATTCTTAAGGAAAACAATTCACATTATCTTTATAATATGCTGTAGGTGATAATGATTTAAATATTGATTTTGAACCTATTCAGAGTAATGAAGGTACTTATATCGCAAATGGTTATGCATAATAATAAGTAGAAAAATATAAAGCCTATAAATCCAGAAAAGTCACAAGTAGTACTAGTACACCATTTAATTTAGAAAATTATAAAAAAACTAAAATTTCATTCGATAAAGGAGGAAATTGGCATAGTTTGAAAGCTCCTAAAGCTTCTTATAATAATACTAAATATGAATGTAGTGGTGAATGCTCACTATAATTAAAAGGAAGAACTGAATTACATGGAAATCCTTTATATTCTGTCAAATATGCACCTGGTTTGATACTTGCATCTGGTAACGTGGGTATTTATCTTACTTAAAATCCTTCAGAAGTTAATGTTTATTTATCTAGAGATGGAGGACATAATTGGGATGAAGTATTTTTTTTCAATTTTTTTTTAATCTTTTTTAGATTTAATAAGGATCTTGGGCCTATGAAATTGCAGACTAAGGAGGAATTATAGTGTTAATTTAAGGTTTATTTTTTATATATATAAAATTTATGTTTTTTTTATTTATTTTAGATGATCAACCAACCAATTTTATTATTTATTCTGCAGACGAAGGAAAAACATGGGAAAAATTATTAATTAGTTAAAATATTAAATTTAATGTTGATGAAATAGTCACTGAGCATAATAATACAGGTAGTGTTTTTATTATTTATGGAAGTTATGAAAATTCAAACAATTAAAGACCAGGAATTATAGTTTCTATTGATTTTAATTAATATTTTAATAGAAAATGCTAAGGTATAAAATAATAAAAGAATATAAATAAAATAAAAATATTTTAGGAGAAAATGTAGCTGATAATGAAGATTCAGATTATGAGTCATGGATTCCTATCAACTTTAGTGGAAAAAAATGTGTATTTGGTTAAAGGGTAGAATATACAAGAAAAAAAAGAGATGCGTAATGTTTCAATTCACTAAACTTGATATAATACAAAAAAGTTCTAAACTAATGCGAATGTACAGAGGAAGATTTCTAGTGTGATTATGGGTATGCAAAAGATGATTTCGATCCTAATAAATGTGTAGCTATGAATGAAAATTTCGCTAATAAATAAGATAATACTAAACCTCCTGAAAATTGTGTTGATTATTACTATGTTACTTTAGGATATAGGTATTTATTTTAAAATAATTATTTTATTTAATTTATTTAAAAAATAGAAAAATCTCAAATAGTTAATGTAAAGGAGGAGTAGAAGATTAATATATGCCAAGAAGAGTTGAATGTCCAGATAGATTAAGCGAAGAGTAAAAATAAGAATAAATTTAAAGAGAAAAGCTATAAAAGGAAGGATATGGTAATAGAGGAAAAGATGAAATTAAAAAGGAAATTTAAGCAGAATACTTTAATTAAAAATAAACTTCTGAAAATAATAATGGTAGTAATAAATACAAATTATTACTTGCTTTGATATTATTGATAATTGCTTATTTAAAAAGAGAAGTTTTATATGTTAAATTTAAATAAGCTATATCGATTACTAAAGATAATGAATTAAATGAATTTAGATATTAAAAAAATAATAAAGAATAAAGTAATTCGTTATTTAATGAAGAGGATGAAGAAGGTTTATGATAAAATTTAATGTTATAATTAAAAATATTTTTATGTTATGATAAAAAATTATATATTTATGTTTTTTTTTTTAAAAAGTCTACAAATTATTTTATAAACTTAAATTTAAAATAAAAGTCAGTATTTTTTGTAAAAAAAAAAATTATTTTTAAAAAATAATAATAAAAATATTTAAATTTTACTTTATATTTTTATATTTATAAAATAAAAATAATATTAATTTAATAAATATTTTATAAAAAAAAATAGTATTTATTATCAAATGAAATCTCATTTAATTAGTATTATATTTAAAGATTTTTATTTTATATTAAGTTTTATCATAAAAAAAAGATGAATAAATAAATTAAATTGAAATGAATTAAAGTTTTTCAAAATAATTAGAAGAACAATAATAAAATTATGATTAATTATCTCCTTAATTTGGTGAATACAAAAAATTATAATATGAATAAAATATATACGAATAGGAAGCAGGTTTAGGATTTGATAATTTATAAAAGGAGTTGGATTAAATTGAAAATCAAATAAGTTAATTTATTTGTAAATTTTAATAATCTTCGTAAAATAACTAAAATAAATAAAATAATTCAAATATTAACAATAAATTAAATCTAAGCAAACAAATCGAAAAGTTAAAAGAATATTTAACTTAACAAGATATATAATAAATGTAAAAGATCTTTAATAATTCTATTTAATAAAGTCCTTTTAATTACTATGGCATATATAGGCATTAAAGTGATTAATTTAAAAGTTAAATTGAGAAAATTTAAGTTGACAAAAATTAAAATAAAGTAATATAAAATGAACAATATCATAATAAATAAATTACTGAGATGATTTAAAAAAAGGAAAGCAACGCCTAACTAGCTGTAAGCTAATATTTATTTGAAAACTATTAAAACTAATTAGAAGATGATTATATTTGTTAAAAAAAAGAAATAGAAGTAACTTAAAAACTAGAGGAAGATTTAAAAAATTAAAGCTAAATTAAAAATGAATATAATTAATAAAAACATAATTTATCCCAAAATACATAAATTAAAGATAACATTTATAAAGAAGTTATAATTGATAATAAAATTTAATATAAATAATTATTATAAAGTTTAGATTTTGGGAATCAAATATAAATTTTATATGGTTAAAACATAAAAAAAGGTAATATTTTTTTATTAAACTATTGAATAAATAATTTCTATAGTATATTCAGACGAAGAAATATTTGGTTAAATAAATTCGGATTTTTATAAATAAGGATTTTCTTTAAGTATATTTATATATTAATAATATTTTTTTAATTTAATAAAAATTTATAGATAGAAAAATAAATCGAAATTATTGAAACATTAACTAATTACAAAATTTTTATAACTAGTTTATATTATTGTTAAAATATTTTTATAATTTAAATTATTTTATTTAATTATCTATAATAAATTTGAAAATTAAAAAAATATTTATTAATACATATTTTATTTGATATTATTAAAACTAATATTAAATTTATAAACTATTTAATAATCATTTTTAAAATTTAATTTAAATATAAATATCTATTTATTATTTTTTTTTATCTAATTTATTTACATTTATATGTTTAAAATTGTATTTAGTTCAATTTATATTCATAAAAGGAGGTAAAATAGTTATAGATATTTGGTATTCCAAAATCTAATAGCTTTATTATTATTAAATATAATTTTTGCTTTTAAAAGATTTAATAAATAAAAATTTATAGTTATTATTTTAAATTCCGTTTTTCTTAAAGGATCATTGTATTTAGTATCTTAAATAATAATAATTAAAAATAATTTAACTATAATTCAATGTTATTTAAAAAATTGTATCGTTCTTGATATTAAATATACATCTCTAATAAAATTTATTGTGTATATTTATATATACAATTATATTTTGCATTTTTCTTTTTGTTAATATATAAAATACTATGATATAAATAATTAATAGTTTACATATTTAAATTTATATAACTTTATTTTTAACTTTTTGATTGTTAAAAACATATTATTTAATACTATGTATATAATGTAATAATATTAAAATATTAATAAAATTTAAATTTATATCTATTTCTATTTCTATTATTTTAATATCAATTTGATTAAAAGTTTTATAAATTTTAATATGTATAAGGGAGATTAATTTATTTATAATTCAAGTTTTTAATAAAAATAATAATATATAATAAAAATATTTTAATTGACAATAATATTTGATTCATGTACATATATAATTATTTTCTTATTTTATGAATTAACAAAATATTACTTGCTTATTATTTTAAAAAATCAATAAAAAAAAGGACATTCATTATCCATTATTTCTCGTCTTTTAATTTTTGTTGAATGCTTGCTTAAAAAAAGAAATATAAAAAAAAAATTATAGAAAAAATTAAAATTCGACAAGCAAATTATAATGTATATAGATAAAACTTAATAATTTTTTAAATAATCTTTTTAATATAAATTTTAATTTAAATATATAGTATATATTGTTTTCCTTTAGTCTATAAAATTTTAAACTAAATCAAATTTTTATTTCAAATAAGTATTTCATTTTTGCAGACGGGACATTTTTTTTAATCTTTTAGCCAACTTGAAATGCATTCAACATGATAAAAATGCTTACAGTCTAAAATTTTTACTTATTACCCAATATTAAATTCAGTAATACAAATGCTGCATTTATCTTAAAAATGTTTTAATTTTCTATTAAAATTTGCAATTGGAATTTTCTCTATTTGTTCCTAATTTAAACCAACACACACTTTACCATTTTTTTCTTCTAATGCTAATAATTACTTTTTAAAATTTTTTAAAACATAATATATTTTTTTTAAAAAAAAAACCTCATATGTCATTTCATCAGGGTTCATATTTTATCCACCATTTTCTTATTCTAATATAGATTATTGAATTGCGTATTACAGCATTTATTCTTCTTGTTATTATATTTTATAATTATAAATTAATTAAATAAAGTTATGATCGGGATTATTATCTTTTTATTCTTCTTCTTCTTCTTATTCTTCTTCTTGCTTATAATTATCATTTAATTCTAACTATTCAGCTGAATTATTTTCTTTATTTGGTTTAAAATTTATATTAGATATAATTATTTATTTGTTATAATTTTCATTATTTTTTAAATCATTAACAACATTATTTAAGTGTAAATTATTAACCTTTAAAGAATTATTTTCTTGTTTAAACTTTTAATTTTCGATTTGCAAATTTTAAATATAAGAATTCTTTTGTAAAATTTAATTTTATAAAAATATATTTTAAGTTTTAATTGAATTATATTTCTGTAGTAATTAATCATATAAAAAGTGGTAATTTTTTCTTTTGAAACTTCTTTATCATTTTATAGCTAAAATGTTTATTGATTTTATTATAATTTTTAATAGTTCTTCCCATTTTTTTATAAATATTTTATAAAATTCTAATCTAAAATATCATTATTAATATTAATATTATTATTGTCATTTTTTTATTAAAATTCTATTTCATTATTTTATAATATTGTTTATGTTTTTTCTTTTTATTAATATTATTAAAATTAATAATTTTATTATGGTTGTGGTTTTTAGATATAATCATTATTTAAATATTAAAAGGTTTATTATCTATTTGAATATAAAATTTATTAATCTTAATTTTATTATATTTCTTATTAATTTTCTAAAATACCGTGTTTACAAAATTTTTATTAATCATTATTAAAAATAAAATATTTATTACTTCTTCAAATTATATAAATATATTTATTAATAATATGTATTATTATATTTACATATTTTACTTTAAATGTGAATCTTATAAGCTATTTTACTTAATATTATTATCATTCATCTGTTCTTATGCTATATTTTTATTAATATATTTATTATATATATGATTATATATTTATAAATATAATATATTTAAACATTTATATATATATATATATATATATATATATATATATATATATATTAATTATTATAAATTTTACATTAATTTTTATTATTGCAGATATTTATTTGAAAATTGGTTAAATCCTTAATCTAGTTTTTATAACCTATTTAAAATTTTTATTATTGATTTTACATTTTTAAAAATTTATTATTTTATTTAATTTAATTTAAGAATATATAAAATTTTTATATAATTATAAAATTATTTTTTATTAATAACAATAATAGTTTTTTTTTAAAAAAAAAAAACATAACAAAAATTATAATAATATATGTATAATATCAGATAATATTAAATATTTAAAATTATAACTCTATTATATACAAATAATAAATAATTTTTTATATTTTTCATTTATAATATATCTACATTTTTATAAAATAACAATATAAGAAAATAAAAATATTAATAAAATTCTCTAAATTTTTTGCTATATAAATCATTAAACATTTATGTTTAATCATATATAACTATTTATAAATTATTTTTTTATCATTTTCATTCTTTGTGAGATGACTTTTTTGGTGATGATTTTTTAGCTGAAGCAGATGATTTCTTTTCTTAAGTTTAATGTTTTTCAACTGATTTAACAGGAGTTTTAGAAGTAGATTTATGTCCAGCAGTTTCGATCTTTTATACCGAAGCATTCTTTTATGGTGTAACAGATTTTTTTTATTAAACGGGGCTCTTTGAAACTGATCTATTTTTTTATTCTTAGGCTTCTTGTTTTAAGGGGGTTCTGGATCTTGAGCGGGACTATTATCTGGCTTCTTATTATTTTTAAGTAGATTTTTTAGCTGATTTTGTAGCAGATTTATTAGCTGATTTATTTACAGATTTATTTGCAGACTTATTTGCTGATTTTTTTTAGCTATCCATTTTTTTTTTATTATTATTTTTTTAATATGTTTTTTTTATCAGTAAATAGTTTTTAATTATTTATATAATTTGATTATAAAGATATTTGTAAAATTTTATTTTTTATTGGCTAATTTATCCAAAGAATGGATTTTTAATTTTTTTATTATAATTTTTTTAATTAAAGATATGCTTTTACTTATAAAAAATTTATATAAATTTTATATATATATGAAAAGTCATTTTAATATTAATATAAAATTCATTTATATAATATCGTTTTTTTTCAGCTTTAAATACATATTTATAATAAAATGGTAAAGCTATTATTTCCATTTAGCTAAACTAAAAATTTTATTTATGAAAAAAATGTAATAAATATTCAAAAACTTAAAATTAAATATATAAAAGATAATTAAAAATATTTGGGAGGTTTCAAATTTTTATAAAGCCTTAATTTTTTTCCTTGTTTAAGAATATTTGAGGATAATTTTATTGATATTGACTATACCAAATTTAAATAAATTAAATGCAAAAAGTTAATTTAAAAAAAATTAAAAAAATAATAAAAAATAGAATGTTTTTAAAGGAGATTTTATAATAAATTATAATATATAAAATTCAAAAATAATGTAAAATTTTATAAATTAAAAATATCTAAATTATTTTTAATGGGTTTCGCAAAATATTAATTAAACTTTAGAAAAAATAAAAATTATTTTATTTATATAATATAAAGATAATTTATTATATATTCTTAATTATATTATTTTAAAAAATTATTAATTATTTTGTTTATTTTTAAAACAATTAAATATATTTTTCATTATTATGTATAGTATTATTTTATTTATTCAATATATTATTTAGCAAAATCTTCAGTTACTTTATATTTTTCAGGGAATCCTTATTACCATTTCTATTTTGCTTCTTACCAAATTTATTCAAATTCCATATTAGCTTTACTTTTAATAAACCTATGGAAACCTTAAGGAATACTTCCTTACCAACCTCCCATATGCTTTTTAAAATTAACCGAAGTTTTCAAAAAGAAAGGACAATTAATACTCACACAAGCATTTTTGCACATATTAGAATCATTTTCAAACTACAAAGTATCAAAATCTATTCCTTTTTCCTTACAAATATCTGCAATTTATTACTTAGAAAGAATATTAATTATTTTGTGGTTTTACCTGAAATTTTCAATGTATAATTTTTCCATATTCAAAAAAAATTCAGGATATTTTTTTAAATGTCTCAAAGCAAACGGTTATTTACTTATTCTTCCATTAGTTTTACTTTTGATTCTTTTTTATTTTACAGGTCCCCCTTTTTATCTTCCTTTATAATTTCTCTATTTTTTTTAAGCTTATTTATTAGCATCTTTCAAATTTAATTCATTCAAATACTTTTTAAGTTCTGTAAAATCGTTTACTAATTCCATCGTAAAAACCTTTTCTCCTTTATATTTATTACAATGGCAAATAAAAGAAATATATTCATTTTATAAATTCTATATTTCAGTATATTATTCGATATTTTTTAAAGGTACAAATCCTATTTCTTCTGCATAAACAAGTCCTTCATTTAATGTTATTTAAGAGTTTTTACCTGAAAGTACCAATTCGCAAATGTATTTAGGTAATTCTTTTCTCAACTCGCCCAAATAATAAAATGAAAGAGTCTTTTTCTTGAAATCTTCAACTTAATCATCTATAGACCAGTTAAAATCAGTCTAAATTAAACTTATTAATGTATTTTTTTATATTAAAGCTATAAAATAATTCAAAACTAAAATATTTGATAAATCTTTAACTGATTTTTTGGAAAATTTATCGTTATTAAAACTACTGTAATAGGATAAATATAAGTATAATAATCCAGAGTCGTATTAATCTTTTATTTTTCCTTCCTAAAAATTTTATTCGATTTCCAAAAACAGATTAGGTCTTGAATCTATGTAGATTTTCAAGTTTTTAAATACTATTTCTTTCAGATTTTAATTTTTGTTTTTCTCTGCAAAAACAAGGACTCTGCTTAAAAGAACTAAATAAGCGTCTTCAAGGAAGATATCATAGTTAGTAGTCACTATAAAGCTAAAAATAAGCTAAAATAAGCTATGTTTAGCACAATTTTTATAATATTCATCATCCAAGAGAGGTAATATGCAATTAATTTCTCCATCATTAATATTAAATTAGTTTAATGCCAATTCTGATAAATTAATAACTCTATCTACATCAACTTCTTTTACAGTAAAAGCAGAATAACTTTCCAAAAAGCCTTCATTTCTTTTAACTTTTAAGGCAATTCCTTTAAAATGTAAAGTTTCCATTAAATCAAATTAGCTTTTTGTCAAAGTCAATCCTTCAGCGAATTCTTAATTTAAAAATTCATTATTTTAAAGATAATTATTTTTCATTTATTCGAATATATCCAAAGTAATATTTTTCAAGGAAAGAATTTTCTATGAATATTTTCCCGTAATAGTACCTATATTCATTCTTTTTGCAACTTCAAATTCCGATTCTTTTTGACCTGGTTTTCTTTCCAAAAGTTATTAAATTTCATTAAAAAACCACTAAAGTCTTAAACCATTTTTTAAAATATAATTCAACTTAGCTCTTTCAGGAAAGGTTTTACCTTTATTGACTTCTTCTTAATTAATAGTAAGGAGATTTTTAATTCCATAAGTATTATTTAAGTCTTCTAGCAAATCATTCATATACTCTAGAGCCATCTTTGAGTACTTCTAAGCTTATTCAAGTTAACTAATTGACATCATAGTCAAGTTTTGGACCCACCCTTTAATTAAATCTACTGAATCTTCAATTGAAAGTGCTTTTTTTTCCACTTTTACAACAATAGATTCATTAAGAATTAATTAATCACTTTTAGAAATTACCCAAGAACCCTCATATACGCTATCAGTTACGGATTCATTCCAAGGGAAAAGCATTACAGGAGGGTCTATAGAGACTATATTAGCTGCATAAAAGTAATTTCTCATTCCTTCAAATTTATTAAAAAGTGCTTTTTCGGACATATATTCTATTAAAAAAAGAGCTGGAATACTATCATCACCTTTATGGTAAATTTATCTCAAACGAACACTTAAAAAAGTAGGAAAACCACTTTATATACCTAAACAGATAAAGTTCAGTTTATGGGATTAATTTCCATTCAGTTTTTAGAATCTTTTTTCTATAGTATCCATATTATTATCCTCTCCATCACTTATGAAGATAACTGTAATATCCTCGTCTATTGGGATATTTTACACTTTTTATTCTAACATTTTGAAGGCTTCAGGGATGTTGGTACCTCCACCACCGTGTTGGCTTATTTTTTTGCTTAAAATGTTAGATTCTAAGTAATGGGGTTTAGTATCAAATGTTATTGTTCGGAGATTTTCTTTAGGAATTACATCTGAGTTCCAGAAATCGGCGATTGAACCCCACCAACTGCTCATTGAGCCAGAAGCATCAATTATACCGATTGTATGGAGCTTTTTAGGAATGGATTTTACTTAGTTACTTTAGATATTTAATGGGATTTTGTAAAACATATTATTTATTTTCATTTTATTAACTTATTAAAAAAATATTTTATTATATATATTATAAATTTTAATTATTATATTAATTTTTTTTAAAATTAAATTATTATATAAATTTAAATTTAGACATTATAATTTTTATGTAGACAAATTAATAATTAAAGTAAATTCTATTTAATACGTGTTTTATAAAATTAAATTTATTAAAGAATAAATAAAATTTTAATTACATTGCATTCTAATGATCTTTTATGCATATAAAATCCCTTTTTTATAATTATTAAAAAAATATTATTTCTTCTGATTTTTTTGAATAAAATATAAAATTAAAAATTTATATTTATAGTTAAAAAAATGTAAAATATTAAGATATTTTCAAAATTAAAATTGTACTAAAATTAATTTAAATAAAAATAATTATAAAAATTTTTAAAGTAAAACAAAATAAATGATAATTAATATAAATATTTAACTATTTTATAATAATTTATAATATATATTTTCATATGCTTTATTTTTATTATAAACAATTAAGAATTAAAATATTAAAATTTATAAAGAAAAATTATAAACTAATTTTAATATTTAATAAGCTTAAATAAATTTTTATTGTTTTATATTTCCAATTCCTCTAATATATTTTTGCTTCTCTTAAATCTGTATCATACTCCAAGCAATGTTTAAAATATATTGAATTAATTGCTTTTCCAGCAAATAATAAATTATTTTAAACATTTTCTGTCAAATCATTTCATAAAGTAGTAGGAGCTTATTCAGGGGTTGAATAAGTACCTTCAATAAATGGATAATTACTAAATCTAAAATATAGTTGTTTTATTAATAATGATTTACTATTTACTATCTTCTTAAAAAAGACTTTCTAGTTTTTATAACAAATCTTTAATATGGATTTATTATTTTTCTTAATTATCCATTTAATATGAAGTATCTCCCGAAATTAAACGCATTAAAACAAAAATGTTTTGATTTTTTAATTGCAAAAAATCCTAAATAAGTCCTATTTTTGATTTCAAACACAATGCACTTAAATTTTTATACCAAAACCTTTTTTAAAATAAAAATAAAATTTTCCTACTTTTCCTATTTATAACTAATTAATCGCTTCTTTCATTTTAAGAGGTGCTTAAGATCGAAATTAAGTAAAAAATTTCTATAATATAGATAAATTAATAGTTATTATAATTCAATAATTTGAATATTTTGATTTTAATAATTAATTTAAACAACTTAAGTTTAGAATTTAATAAAATTAATTATTTTTGAAACTTAATTTATTCCATCTAAATATGTAGAGTTTAGATCATAAAATCTTCGTCTTTATCCCAGTTTTTATAATATTACAAAAGAGTTTTAAATCGAAATTTTATGTAGATTATCGATGTCTTTATGACCCCAGTATTATTTGTAAAATAGGTTAAATGTTATTTTGATTTACTTGCTCATGATATTTATTATTAAATAGTCGGTATATATTTTTGCTTTTTATTTTTTTAAATACATATTTTCAATTTTGTGTTTTTTATCAAATTTAGTAAAATTAAATAAACTTTCTTAATATTCTATAAAAGTATCCTTATTTTAGTCTGAAGAAAATTAAGCATAATTTTATTTAAGAAAGAAAAATAATTGCTGTTTTTCAGATAAATATACCATCGATTCAGATATTATAATTACAAATACTGTGAGACTCTATTATATAATTTTATTAGATAAAATTAATTATAGTTTTAATTATTTATATTAAAGTTTTCCTATTTTTTCTATTAATTTTAATTTTATGAAAATAAAATAATATTAAAAATTTTATTTAATTTACAATTCTATAAATTCTAAATTGTAAAATTTTCCCCCAATCATGTGATTTCAAAGCATATAAATTCTAATAAATATGAATAAGAAATTTTATAGAAACAAAAACCAACAAATAAGTTAAAATAAAGCCCTTTTATTTTTGTTATTAAATTAATCTCATTTAATTTATATCTTCGATATTATTTATGTATGAGGAATCGGCAAAATCTTATTTTTCTGCTATCTTCAATAAATTGAATTATAGACATTTATATATTTAATTATTTATTACTTTACTTATATTTTTTATTTATTCTAAGGTTTTTTAAAAAAATTCAGCATGTTTTTAAAAAATTATAGAAAAATAAAAAAAAATCTATATATAATTAATATAGTTTTATAAATATAGGTTTCATAATATTTTCTTAATTATTTTGGCTTATTTAATTGTTACATAATCATAAATATTGTTTCATTATGAGATATTTTGATATTCCCATAATTAATCTATTTTTAAAATTATTTTTAGTAAACTATTTATGGGTTATAAGGATTCATTATATCAATATAAATAAAAAAACTTTAATTTAATAAACTGATGAAATAATAGTTCTTTCGTGTTTTAATATAAGTATTTAATTTATAAAAAAATAGGAAACATTGTTTCAAAATTATTTAAGAAATTTCAAATAAAAAAAAAATAGTTAAATAAATTTATAGTTTTATTCTTGATTTAATAATTTTTGGAACTGTCTAAAAAAATGTAAAAAAAACATGAATTAAAAATAAAATCTGTTTTAAACTAAAAAAAAAAATTATGTTTTAATTAAATAATAAGATAAAAATACAGAAATTACTTTTAATTAATTAATATTCTTTAATTTTTATTATAATAAATTATTAAACATATATATTAACTGTTTTTATGCTTTTTATTTTTTCTGTAGTTATTTTTGAAACCTAAATCAAAAAAAAAAAGACTGTATTCCATTTTTTTTACAGACCTATTAAATTTATTTTAAAAAATTGATATCAAACTTTTATTTTAGATTAAATATTAATTTTATCATTTATTAGTTTTTGATGTTTATTAGAAAAAAAATATAATATAAACTTAATTTTTTATTGTTAAAATAGTAAATATAAATTAAAAACTATTATAAAAAATAGAATTTTATTTTATCAAAATATGTATATTATATTTAATATTATTTATTATAATATTTAATTTATAGTTTATTTTATATTAATTTATTAAAAAGCTTTAATTTAAATGAAAAAAAATTATTAGTTAACTTTAATATTCATAATTATATATATTAACTATTAAATCTTATTATTTAATATTTATTCATTATTACTATTATTAACGACTGAGGTCATATCTGCAATTAGGGCAATTAGTCTAGAATTATAGCCATGCATATATACAATTATAATGAAAAATATGTTTATCATTGCATTCTAATATAACTATATCGTCATCTATTGCATAATTAATCATACATATTGGACATTCTGTAATTTCAATTGTGTTGTTTTAATATTTTAACTTTTTTAAATTCATTAGAACATTTTAATTTTTTTGTTTGAAATTTACAAATTTGCATTAGATTAATGAAGTAAATAAATATGCAATAAATTTTATTGTAAACATTATAAGAACTAATTTATTTATAATAAAATAATTATATTTATATATTCAATAATAAAAAAATATTACTTATTAAAATTAATACTGATAAAACTATTACTAAAAGAAACATATATAAATATTATAATGTTGTAATAATAATGCTTAAAATCATCCAAGCTTATAAAACATATTCACAATAACTAATATCGTCATATAATAATTTATTTTAATTTGATATTTTTAAAATAATTAATGAACCATATATATTTAAAGCAATCATAAGAACATTTATTATTGAATTTATTATTTTTAATGATGTGTTTTTTCTTTTATACATATTGTTTATTTGTTACCTAAATAGAGATTTTAATTTTTTTTTTGTGCTTATTACTTAACAAATTATAATTTTAATCCAATTATTAATTTTGAGAAACAGTTCTATATTCTCCTATTGCCTTACATATTTAAAGCCTTTTTTATCTTTAAAATGATTGCATAAAAAATAATAAATTATAGAAAAATCTTGTAAAAAAATAAGAAAGTTGAAAATACATCCATAATTTTATAAAAAAAACCTATTCACAATCTATATAAGTTAAGGCTAAACTAAATATTGCTATGAATAAATTTAATGTTAACATTAATAACTATATAACTTAGTTTCTTATGTATAAAATTATAAATAATTTTGATTCTTATTTAATTTCTATTTATATATTTTAATGCTGCAATTATTATTAAGGCAATAATTGTCTATTTATTTAATTTTAAAATTGTTAGAAATTATATTATTCTTAATCCATATTATATAAATTCAAAAGTATTATTTAATAAAAAAAAATTAAAATAATAAAAGATATTAATATAATTATTAAATAAAGTTATAATTATCTTATCAGATAAATAGTAAATTAAATTATATTAGATAATAATTTATAAATTAAATAAAATAAATAATTAATAAATTTAATAAGATAAATATTAAATTATATTTTTCAATAATAATACAAATTAATTTAAATATTTATTAAAAATAATATATGAATTATAATTATATTTAATATATATAATAAATAAAATATATAATTATATTTTTAAAACAATATATATAGAATAAATAATAATTTATATTAAAAAATAATATAATAAATAAAATATTATTTTAATTTCTAAATATCAATTTATATAAAAATAATGATTTTATAAATAATTTAATTTTAATTTATTTATTAATATATTTAATTAAAGAAATATATATATATATAATAAATATATATTAATAATAAAAAATTTAATAATATAATTAATTAATATATTTTATTGTTATTATTATTACATATAGATTATCAAATATATTATATTTTTATATATTCATTAAATATTTATTAATTATTTATGTTATTTATTTTATATCTTTTATTAATAAATATTTAAAAAATTAATTTTTTATTATTATTATATATTAATAAAAAAATAAGTATAAATGATCATTAAATAGAATAATTAAATTTAGTGTATAATTATATAAAATATTTTGTTAAAATATAGGGTTATTGTTGGA